GGAGAGGTGACCCCAAACCCTGTCTTCCACCCCCCCCCCCCTTCCACCCCCACCCCCTGCCCCCCCAAATCAAAAATCCCAAAGTCCCCGTAAGCCGGGCCCTTCAGTACGAGCGCGAGGAAGGCGATTCTTGATACTCGTAGGAGCTATTCTATCTCAGGGAGAACGGGGATTCCGTTCCTTGATCTGCCTTTTAAGCTTGGCTTATTGGAAGTGCAACGGGAACGACAACCACTTCAGAGTGTTTTGAGACAATCGATCCAGTCATATGTCCAGGACACCGCGTAGCCACCGGTCGCGAGCCGAGAGATCGGATCCGCCCTGTCAATCATGTCCGACCTTCTGTTGAGTCGTTGTGCCTATAGTGAATTGGTGTGAGGTGTGTGACATGTCCGGACAATACTCCCATCTTAAGCTTTTGTTGCTTTAGTTCCTACCTTGTGGTAGTGAGTTCGACCTGTATTCGAAGCATCCGAGTGTCGCCACTTTCCAGGCAAGTGGCTTGAGCTTTAGGTTGATCTTAGGGGTACTTGAAAAATATGCTAATGTTTGGTACTATAATTCCTAAGAAACAGCAACAAATAATTTTTGCTAGGGTTCCAAGTTCAGTATAGTGATGGGCTTTCGAGGTGACATGCTCTCCTTGATCGACCTGGCCGTGGAAGCGCCATCCACCGCTTCGGCGCAGCCCCGACAATTCTCAGCTTGTCCCTAAACCCTAAACCCTAAACCCCAAACCCCAAACCCTAAACCCTAAGCCCTAAACCCTATACCTAAACCCTAAACCCAAAACCTAAACCCTAAGCCCTAAACCCTGAACCCTGCAAGAGCCTGGCCGGCAATGCCCCAATGTAGAGTTCTCTGATGCCAAAACTTCAGTGGCTCGAAATTCTAGCGATGAGCCCCAAACCCCAAAGCCCCAAAAGCCCTGAATCTTCAACAACCTAAACCCTAAACCCTAAACCCTAAACCCTAAACCCTAAACCCTAAACCCTAAACCCTAAACCCTAAACCCTAAACCCTAAACTGATTCAACCCGGAACTTCCAACAGCCGCTGCCTTGCCAAGGCCAGTGCCGGAGCGTTGCTCAGGCGCTCCTGTGTGGGCTCGGTGTCCCAGCTGGGGTTAGGGTTTGGGGTTGTCGGGGTTTAGGGTTTAGGGTTTGGGGTTTTGGGGTTTTGGGGATTTTGGGGGGTTTAGGGTTAGGGGTTTTGGGGTTTTGGGGGTTTCGGGGGTTGAGGGCTGCTTTCAGAGGGTCAGGGGCTTACGGTGCGTATAGGGTTCAGGGTTTTAAGGTTACGGAGCTTACGGGAAGACTTGGGGCCTTGAGCTCAGGGTTTTTGGGTCTTATAGGGTGCGGGAGTGTGTGTGTATACGTTTGTATACACATGACATAAACAAATCTATGAAATAGGAAAATACAGATAAATGCATATAGAATGCAACGTCGCGCTGCGCACTCACATCCTGCGAGGTGCCATGAAGTACTGCCCAGGGATGCTGGCAAAGCCGCGCTGTCTAAGCTTAAGAATAATATGAATAATCATAATAATAATAATTATTATTGTAATTTTAATAATGATAAGGTCCTTCAGCTTCAGCACAGCAAACCCTGGGCCCCTGAATGCCCTAAAGGAGCCTGAATCGCGAAGCCCAAGCTGTGAAGTGCACAGGGACGCCTCTGGTGCCCAACATCTTCCAGCGCGTGCCTGATGACCAGGCCGATGTCAGTAAGCATCCTACTTGGAGGTTCATGCTACTTATTCGGGAATTATAACGGTACTTAAAACCAACTTAGAAGCCCCTTAAGTGCCCGAATGTGGGTAAAAGTGCAGGCATAAGCACAGTCATAATTGTTTAAGAAGTACCACGAGCCGCCAAGCAGCGATGATGGCATGAACCAGCCTGGTTGGGGTGCTTCGGGTGATGCTCAGAGGGGCGTGAGGGGGCTTGGTGGCCGGACATAGTCAGGTTCGGGAGGTTTTGCATGAAGCTCGATCTCCCCTAGCATGGTAGCTCCTGCAAGCCGGAGGTTGCGGAGCTCTAGATTCCGCACATAGCTACCCCGCTACCCTCGAGCCACAGACGTCTTTGTTGAGGCAGAGCTGGTGGAGCTGGTGGGCAGGCTGGCTCAGGGCCGGTGCAAGAGTCCACTTTGCAGGAGCAATTGTCTGGGGTTTTGGTTCAGGCTTTGAGCCTGCAGACGGCACATGTTGCCAAGGCCATCAGCCCCAGTCCAAAGTGCCTTCCCAAGCCCTCTCAAAATCCGTGAACTTCAGGGCTAAGGCTTCTAAACCCCCCGGAAGCCAACCCTAAATAAACTCTCAACCCCATAAGCCCATAAGCCCACAACTTCGTGTTCTTGAACCCTACACAGGCCCTACACCTTGAAGCCCAAACTCCCAAAGCCTTGACCATCTCCACAGCCTATTCCCCAAACACCACAAACCCTATACACCCTGCACACCCTATAAACCCAGTAAACCGTATAAACTCTCTAAACCCTCTAAACACTGTAACCCCAACTAGCCCTATAAACCCTACAAACCCTGTAAACCCTGGAAACCCTACAAACCCGACAAACCCTATAAACCCTGTAAACCCTTTCACATAAACCCCCCAAAACCCTATAAGCCCTAGACCGTTTCAGCCCAAACCCTGAACCACATTCCCAGATGAACACCTGAACTTCTCTAAACCCTAAACACTCCATAAACGCTATAAAACCCTATTAAAAACCCTATTGAAAACTCATTCAACACGGTAAGCCCCTACAAAACCCCGATTGAAACCCTGTGAACCCCCATAAAACCCAAGACCCGCAATCTCCAAACTCCTGAGCTTCAGGGTCTGCAGGGGCATCGAGACAGCCGAGTCCCTCCTGCGCCGCACCTCGGGGGCAGCAACGCCTCGGTTTAGGGTTTAGGGTTCAGGGTTCAGGGTTTAGGGTTTAGGGTGTTGGGTTTAGGGTTTAGGGTTTAGGGATGTTGAGGGTTTAGGGTTTCGGGTTTTGGGTTTGGGTCCCATATTCGGGTTAGCCGGTAGACACGGTTACTGGGGTTTAGGGCTTAGGCCCTTGGGACGTGATGCATTTTGCCTCATTGAGTTTAAGCGGGCCATATTATAGGGCGATGTTTTCAGAGGGTTTCGAGGGCCAAGCTCCTTGTCCTGGGTCAAGCCCGGCACCCTAAACCCAAACTGCCATCAACCCTGAACCTAAAGCCCCTAAACCCTAACCCCCAACTGCCCTAAACTCCAAACCCCAGGGTGAGGGTGGGGCTTCAGTCTTTAGTGCAGGGTTTCGGGGTTGTTCTACAACTAGGTTGTAGTGTAGCTATCGGCAAAATTCCGGTTATATCCTTATGTGGGGGCACTTCTAGACCCACTAAGAACTACCCGACAGCACTGCGCAGAGGTTGTCATGGCAAGCCACCTGGTACCCTAACGCCCCTGAACCTGAAGCCAGAAGATTTTTTCCAAAAACACCCTTGAGCCTGAACACCCCAAGCCCTAAACCCTAAAAACCCTAAAAACCCTAAACCCTAAACCCTAATCACTCGAAAAGCCCGAGGCACCCCCTGGGACGCCGCCGATCCTGGCTTGGACCCTGGCCTGCGGAGGCTGCTTGCCGGGTTTAGGGTTTAGGGTTTAGGGTTTAGCGTTTAGGGTTTAGGGTTTAGGGTTGCCCCGCCCTGTGGTTTGAGTGGCTTAGGGCTTGGCGGGGAGTGGTGTAGTAAGGTCCCTTTTTCCATGGGGTGCACCCGAAGGGACCCGAGTTCCTCTAGGACTTTACATGACAGCGGTAGTTGAATTCAAGGCCGCCACCCCATGTCCGAATATCTGGGTCCTTTCCCGCAATCCCTAGACCAGGGTTCTTTTTTGGGTGTTCTTGTTCATGTGCCAGTTTCTTGTTTGTGTACAGGCGGGTGTTTTCCGGTCTCGGGCTTCTGTTTGCCACTTTCTGCTGTTTGCTGTTTGACCTTGGCGTTTTTCTACTTCTTGCTTCCTACTATGTATTCCTGCTTTCGGCTTCCTTTATGACTTCCGCGGTTTAGGCTCATTCTTCCTTTTGCTTCTTGCTTTCCCTGCTTAATATACTTATTGAATCAAGGCATGCAGCTTGAAGGGTTGCAGAGTGCCACCATAAAAGCTCAGCACCGTCACGCTGATCTCTGCAGTTTCGTAGCGACCGCCGAGCTGCGGAGCCACTGGCAGAAGATCCGCGAGGAGGCAGGGCTTACCAGCTTGGACTGTTTGTGCTTCAGGGCTGTGGAGTTGAGGACCACTTTCAAGCATCATCAGCTTGTGTTGGGTCACTTCAATATCATCGTAGTTTTTGTTGGGGTCGAGGCTGGTGTCGAAGTTGCAGTTGGGTCTGAAATTCTAAAGCCCTAGTGCGTTGGGTTTGTTCGGGCTATTTCGGGGCTCACGGACTGAGATCATGCCAGGTAGTGGTGATTCGGGGTTTGGCCTTTTGCCTTCAGTACTTTGCATGGGGGGGTACTGAACTACGATGCTTAAGGTGCCCTAAATCCCGCGGCGCGGTTTGATAGTCGTTTTTTGGCAGGCTCTAGCTGCTGAGCCAGGCGGGATCCAGTGTTTGTCAATGATCACTTGGGGTGTGTCCTCAAATGCCACCGTTTGTGTACCCCAAATACCATAATCCACGATTCTTGCTACAGCAACCCCGAAAGGGTTTCCATCTTCAACTGCGGACTCTCGCAAAACGCGTTTGCCTCGCCACGCGAGGGAGTAGAACATGGGAGTTCAATGAGTGTGTGCTCGCGCTGGTTTGTTTGCTCGTGTGCGCCTGGACGCTGTGAATCCAGGGCTCTCAAGCCACGCTACGTTGAAATGTGTCAGCATGGCGCAACCAGTACGTCCTGCCCCAGTCGTAGCGATAACCGAGATTCCCTTGCAGGGATGTTGAGATGGGGGCCATAGCGTCCCAGTTCACCAGGATCCCAAAAGCACTGCAGCATCTTTCGTCCTTAGCAGCCATGACTGCTGGGATGAAGGACATGCCCATCGAGCCTGCCAGCGGCATCGACCCAGCATCATGTCGAGTTGAGTCCCTAAACCCTAAACCCTAAACCCTAAACCCTGAACCCTGAACCCTGAACCCTGAACCCTGAACCCTAAACCCTAAACCCCAAACCACAGGCTGTAAGCTGTGGTTGGATCTCAGGACTGGGCAGCCCAGTTCCCGCTCGCCACGAAGGGCCGGCATGTGGTCAATCAACAAGGAAGGCGCTTCCACCTCAGAGGCATCAACTGGTACGGCGCGAGAATCTGGGCCTTGATCTAGTAACTTTCCATCTTCGAAGTGCTCCCGAAAGGTTGATTGAGGGTTGTTAGGGCTTGTAAGGTTTGTGGGATTTATGGGGGCCTAAGGGCCAGTAGAGCAATCTCTTGCTAGACAATCAAAACCTCAGGTGACCACAATCACGTGGTGGGAGGCTTGAATATTCAGAGCTTGGAGACCATATGCAAGACAGTGCAGTCTCTGGGCTTCACCGCTGTGCGGCTGCCCTTCTCCAACGAGATGTTGAGAAGCAGCGTCCGTGACGGCAGCATCGACTTCAGCAAGAATCCCCAGCTCAAAGGGCTCACGGCTCTGGAGGTTCTGGATGAAGTGATGCACTGCTCCTTGGCCAGCAAATTTCCCCCACCCATCTCTAAACCCTAAACCCTAAACCCTAAACCCTAGACCCTAAACCCTAAACCCTAAACCCTAAACCCTAAACCCTAAACCCTAAACCCTAAACCCTAAACCCTAAACCCTAAACCCTAAACCCTAAACCCTAAACCCTAAACCCATGCGACTGCGCGATCTCTGGAAGGTTTGGCCCGACACCGGGTGGTTTCCATTCTGAGCCTCGCCGGCAACGGGTTTAGGGTTTAGGGTTTAGGGTTTAGGGGTCCAACCTCTTGCGGTCAAGGCATGTACTTTCGTGTCTCAGCTCTCGCCAGTCAGCTTCGTTCGCCAGTCTTGCGATATCTTGTGGACAGTTGCGGCATAGCAGGTGCAGTGACAGCACCCATAAGACTTACTTTTCCTGATCCCCCCCCCCCCCCCAGAAGCAGCAGGAGTGGTTGGGACTGGAGCCCTCAGCTGGTTTGAGCTTGTCAGACGGAGCCCAAAGTGTATGTCTCGGATGGTACACAGAGAGTCTGAGCCAGAGACAGGAACAACCACACGACCCACGGCGAGTGGTGCGGGGGCCCAGACCGCAATGGGCTGTGGTTCGACCCGAGCAGCAGCTTCTACACGGAGGACGAAAGATTCTGTCGGCTTTCAGGGGATTCTGTTCTATTTGGGGGATAAAAGGGGTACCCCTATTTTGAGAAATATCCAGATCCCGGTAAAGTAAGCTCAGTACAAAAATGCTCAGTGGTCAACTTGGTCAAAGCATGCTTGGGAAGAGTCGCTGAGTCACCTTGGCGTCTGAAGGAGCAGTGGCTACAAGACTGGACCATGCTGGGGAGACGATATCGGCACTGCAGCTACGTTGTCGGCGCCTTGCCGGCAAGCCTCTGAAGCAGCTCATCACAGCAAACCCGCTGCGCAGTGCGGAGATTGTGAAGTGTTGATGCTTCGGAAGTGCTCCAAGACGACGCCATGCATTCAGGCTTTAGGACTTTCGGGCGCGCAGTCCTCAAGCTCGCGTTGTGTAATGGCCCCATTTTTCCCAAAAAAGGCCCCCTAAAAACCCTAACACCCCAGAACCCCAAAACCCTAAAACCCTAAAACCCGAAACTCCCAAACCTCAAAATCCCAGAAAACCATCTAAGAACCTAAATTCCAAGGCTTCGACTTGCGCAACGAGGTCCGGTTCTGCCCCTGGCCCTTCCGATACCCCATCTGGTTGGGAACTGGTCCAAGGACTCCCCAACAGTGGTGTGAAAATATAGAGGGTTTAGGGTTTAGGGCTTAGGGTTTAGGGTTTAGGGTCTATAGGGTTTAGGGTTCTTTGTTTTGGTGGTGTAGGTGTTGGGTTTTTGTTGGCTGGACCTTGAAGGGTGCAGTAACTGCTTGTTTTGCCGGCTGCGACTGAGGGTTCTGGTTGGATTGCGTTCTTTGGTTTTGAGTTTTGATGCATAGAGCAAGGATGGCTCTACATTTGCGCGTAAGCCTCTTCAACCCCTTAACCTATCAATTGAGACCGAACCCTGACCCCAACCCCCTCTAAACCCTAAACCCTAAACGGCCCTAGGCCCTAAACCCTAAACCCTAAACCCTAAACCCTAAAGCCTAAAGCCTAAAGCCTAAAGCCTAAAGCCTAAAGCCTAAACCCTAAACCCTAAACCCTAAACCCTAAACCCTCCGTAGAGCCGGAGGATCCTGCGACAACTTCTTCGCTGGCTGGGCTTCCATGACTGGGCCGACGCGGCACAGCGCTGCGCACGACAGCCGCTTGGCTGCACTGCGACTCACTGGCGGCCATGAGGTTTAGGGTTTAGGGTGGTTTAGGGTTTAGGGGGTTTCTGGGTTTAGGAGTTTTGGGGGTGCGGGGGTTTGGGGGGTAGGGTGAGCATGCCTAGCTTTGGAAAAACTGCCGGAAACCTTAAAACAGCGAACCTAAACTCTAGAGTCAAGGCAAACCTTCAATCTTAACTGCCTACATCAAGATTAGCAGTCATGCTCCTCCTTTAGCTTGTGTATTGACCGGATGACCAACCTGACAAGCACTTCGCAACTAGGAGTACTCCACACGGCTTTCGATGCATGCCCTCGGGTCGTACCTGCATGAACGCAGCGCCTGGACAGCTTATGACAGTTTCATAGATGTGTCGCAGACGTTTTGGAGGAAAACTTTGCAGCAGTCATGGTATTCAGAGCCTCAGAGTACTCTGTGACTCTGTGACCATATTACATACAGATTTATGCTTTCAGATCTCACCGTCAAGTTTCTGTCCAACAAGAGGTCGCGCAACTCGCGCATATCTCAGTCTCTCTCAAACACCCTCAACCTTAAACCCTCCAAACCTACAGTGTCTTGCTTGCAGGCTTCTTCAGGCCTGCCCAGACAAGCTCCTGGTTGTGGAGCGCCGGATTTGGCCCATGAGGGGACTTCGCAGCTATGATGCTTGGACCATGAGCCCAAAAAACCCAAGCAACCCCATAAACCATAAGTCCTACATCGAAACCCTGAATCCTACATAGCCCTGCAGGCTTTGTTTGTTTCTCTCCACCCGAATCAAAGTTTAGGTCACTTGGGTGGCTCCAAAGCTGCTGTCGTCTTAACCCCTGTAAGCCCCCAAAATTCAATGTGGAGGACCCGGGAGCCTGTCTTTTAGAGGTTGCCTTGGGGGTGTTTGGACTCACTGGGTTTGCGAGGTGGGATCTCGTGAATTCAGCCCAGTGCGGCCCCCGGAGCTGCAACAGTTGCAGCCGAAGACGCAGAGTTTAAGGTTTTTGGGCTGTTGGGTTCCCAAGAGTTTCCGGCAGCCCAGCATCTGAGGAGACATCTCTCTTACCAGAGCTCCAAAACCGCTTGGTTCTCGGCGTCCATCACTACAGCTGGCGACCCGATGTCGACATAGCAAGCTGGGGCAACTAGGGTCTGCGGTTAGATGACGGACCACTTGAGTGGTCCTTTGTATCATAGGGTTTCTGCTCTAAAGCGTCCTTATCCTGAGAAGTTCATCGGAAGAACGACGCCCACGCTGATCTCGTCCTCGGTTTGCACTCAGGAACGGTCCCGGGCGCTACTTGCCGTTCGCACATTTGAGAAGGGAAGGCTGGCAGCTCGTTTCCAGGAGCTGCGAATGAGCTTCTCTCTCAGTCACTGGTGACATGGGCAGATTGTCAGTGCATGTGGTGGCCTCTGAGCCCAGAGTTCTTGACGATTGGTTGATGTCGGCATTCACGGGAGTGGCTTTAGCATACAAGTTGCGGAAAGCAAGCATCTCAATGAGTCGCATCGGGTCTTGATAGGTTCTTGCTCTGTGAGATCTCTAGATTCTTCCGGCTCCAATGCCCCAGGGCATGTCTTCTCTCATCCTTCTGCATTTTCCAAATAGGTTTTAGGGTTTAGGGTTTAGGGATAAACTTGCACAGATGCGCATCCTTATGGCCACCTGCCGGTGATTGGTAAGCTTGATGCCTCCGATCATGCAGGAATCTGTTGAGATTTATGCGGATCTTCTCCCATAAGAACTACGGCGAGATGTCGGACAGCGAGCTTTCCGGGGTGCTGTCCGAGCAGTGGGGTTGCTTGGTATGTCAGTTTGGAGGTTCTTCAAGCCATCCAAACCGCCTGACTTCCCTTGACCTTCGAATCCACGCCGATAGAGTTGGTTCGGACGCACTTTGCCCTTGGCGGCTTGCGGTGAAAGCGCCCGTCCTAGAACTCAACAGTACAGACACCTCAGCAAGGAACAGATAGCTTCAGCACAAGACAAGTGTTTCTGGACCAGCCCGAACATTCGAGCGTCACAGTGCCTCAAAACCCTAAATGGGGAGCTCTTTTGGGGAGCCTTTTAAAGAAGGACGCCTGCCCAAGGGAACCCTCATTTTCAGGCTAATGCCCCAATGCCAAGCCCTCAACACAGAGGCCACACGCCCGAAGCCCCAAAGCCCGTCGAAGAGCCCTCAGCCCCCCAAATCCTCCAACACCCTTCAACCCCTCCAAACGACCCCTTAAGGACCCTCCAGCCCCTAGAATCCCCAAGCCCTAAACCCTGAAGCCCTAAACCCCGAAACCCTAAACCCTAAAGCCCCGAAGCCCTAAACCCCTAAGGCCTCAATCCCGAAACCCTAAACCCCTAGAACCCTAGAGCCATAAAACCCTAAACCCCTAAACCCCTAGAACCCTAAAACCCCAAACCCTAGAACCCTGAAACCCTGAAACCCTAAACCCTCAAGCCTAAACCCTAAGCCCCCTAAACCTGGAGCCGAGGCTGGCTCCTGGAGCGTGACGTCTGCCCCGTGTGGGTCAGCGAGTTCGGCACGGGGCCCGCGCCGGGGTTTGACCTGGACCCGGGAGGGCAAAAGGGTTTCTGGAACTTGGGGGTTCAAACCCTAAACCCTAAACCCTAAACCCTAAACCCTAAACCCTAAACCCTAAACCCTAAACCCTAAACCCTAAACCCTAAACCCTAAACCCTAAACCCTAAACCCTAAACCCTAAACCCTAAACCCTAAACCCTAACACTAAACCCTAAACCCTAAACCCTAAACCCTAAACCCTAAACCCTAAACCCTAAACCCTAAACCCTAAACCCTAAACCCTAAACCCTAAACCCTAAACCCTAAACCCTAAACCCTAAACCCTAAACCCTAGCCCACAGCTTCCTCAAACTTCGGGCTTGGGCCTGCAAAGCTTCAAAGTCGCCCGAAGCCAATAATTTAGAGCTGAGGCGTTTAGGAATAGGGTTCAGGGTTTTGGGGTTCTAGGGGTTCAGGAGTTTAGGGGTTTAGGGGTTTAGGGGTTTAGGGGTTTAGGGGTTTAGGGGTTTAGGGGTTTAGGGGTTTAGGGGTTTAGGGCTCTAGGGTTCTAGGGGTTTAGGGTTTCGGGGTTTAGGGGTTTAGGGGTTCAGGGGTTTAGGGGTTTAGGGTTTAGGGGTTTAGGTTTTTGGAGTTTAGGGATTTAGGGGTTTAGGGTAGGGATTTACGGGTTTAGGGAATAGGTTTTAGGGATTTAGTTGTTTAGGGTTTGCGATCTAGGGTGTAGGGATTTAGGGATTTATGGGTTTAGGGTGCTCTGGGAAGGACTGGTTCCAGCGCTTCGTGGGGATTCTCGGCCGTTTCGAGGTGGACTTCGCTTATTGGCCCTTGAATGTAGGCCTCCTGGCTGCCAAAAAAGGGCTTGGGCATCACTTTCTATCGGGCGCCTGCTGCGGAGACAGCAGCTGCTACAATGCGACCGGAAGGGCATCAGAAGTGCTCCCTGAAAAAGCCTGTGTCTTTCTTTTGCTCAGGCGCGAAGCCTGGTGGTGGCGGAGATGAGGGTTACGGCATGCTGTCGAAAGACACTTGGCAATGCATGGTATGATGGAGCAGGTTAAGCTTAGGGTCAGGCCTTACTTGCCTTCAAGACCCCTTCGCCCTAAGGCTTGTTTGGAACAAGAGGCACCTAAGCTTCCCAGACCAAAGTGCACCACCCATCCGCCTCAGGACTGGACCCCAAAGCCGGAAGGAGACATCCGGCTGAATTTGCTGCTCGTACGGAATACTGTTGCCGGCAGGTCTTCGAGATTTCGGTAGAGGGTTTGCGCGCCGATTGCAGGCATCATGCTTTTCTGGGAGCAAGCATCTGCACACAGTCTGCCTAGATGCCTGAAGCCTAGGACCTACATGCGTTAGATGTGGGCTTGAGACTTTGGGTTGAGGGGAAGCAGACGTGGATAGCAACCTGCGCAGAAGATGGGCTGTCCAGTGGGTGCTGTAGATGCCCTCTGGAGTCATTCAAGCTGCATTCCAAGCCCGACCGAATGTTCCCTAGCAAGACCAGCAGGTTACGGCTGAATGGACTGCTGCCGGCGGCCTCGGAAGAAAAGAGCTCTCGGGAGACACGGGAAGGATTTCGTCGCCCTTTCTGAGAAAGTTCGTCAAAGCCATGGCTTCGGGCCTCGACTTTGTCTTAAAAGGGTTCATCGGGCTCCGAGGGCTTAGCTCGCCACTTTAAGAAGCTTGAAAACCTCAAGGCGCCCTCGTGTGCTGACAGGTGCCGAGGCGGCACTCGAGGAGAGAGACTGCCGACGTGGGGTTGGGGGTTAGGGTTGAGGGTTCTGGGCTTGGTTGGGGAGTTCTCCAAGTTAGGATCCCTTCAGATAGCATATCTGCCACAGTATTGAGGGATGTTTGTGGACTCGTGGTGGCAAGGACTTTTGGCAGACGCACCTGACTGCGGATGCAATGGCCTGGCACCTAGGTGTGGCAGGGATGGTCACCCATCAGTAGAGCAGCTGAACAGCGCCTGGAATCAGAGTGACTGCTGCGGGTTCGCACCTGCAAAGGCTAAGCCTCAGCCTTCATAGTGAACTACACTTTGGTAGTTTCAGAAAGTCCATGGGGCGGTCTCATCATTCAGAGCCATAGAGTCGCTCTCCAGTTCTCCCTCGTCTCGAGCCGAGGCCAATACCATGCGCCAAGCCACTTCCGACACCTTCCAGCTGCTGCTTACAGCGTTGTGGCCCCGAACCCAGAATGATGCGATGGGAATGGTTCGGATTTCCTCACGGTCTTTTTGCCAAATGCCACCACGTCGCAGACGACGAGCAATACTACTGCTTCATATGTGTTGTTGCCCTGCCTCCAAGGCTCTACACTCGCGAGGCCGCAGCCGAACTCAGAAGTTGCACACTGGGTTTCTAGTGCTCCTGGGGACTGGCGTAGGCTGGGAAGACTCTACTTTTGGCATCTCGTACGTGGTTTTTGATTGCAAGAAGTTGGCAGGCCCTAAAACCCCGAAACCCTAAACCTTCAACCCCCAAACCCCAAGCCCTTCCCGAAATCCCCAAACCCCAAACCCCAAACCACAAACCCTAAACTCTAAGCCCTAAACCCTAAACCCTAAACCCTAAACCCTAAACCCTAAACCCATGGAAGGCCTGGCTTCGGCACCTCCTGGATGCCCTGGCCGCGGCGGTGTACGGAGCGCACGGCACCCGCGTGAGTGAGGCCGCGACGCGCGGAATGGGCTTGGGGTTGAGGGTTTAGGGTTTGGGGTTTAGGGTTTAGGGTTTAGGGTTTGGGGTTTAGGGTTTAGGGTTTAGGGTTTAGGGTTTGGGGTTTGGGGTTTGGGGTTTAGGGTTTAGGGTTTAGGGTTTAGGGTTTGGGGTTTAGGGTTTAGGGGTTTAGGGTTTAGGGTTTAGGGTTTAGGGTAAAGGGTTGAGGGTAAAGGGTTGAGGTTTGAGGGTTTAGGGGTTAGGTGGGGAGGTTCTTACTTTGTTCCGGTCTGTGGCCGCGCTGATCGAGTTTTCGTGTGAAGGCGTAGTGATTCGGGGGCTTGAGGGTTGTGTGGTTTTGGAGAATGTTCCGAGAGCAGGCTCAGGCAGTCTCAGGACAGTCAGCGCGTTGGGTGTAGAGGCTTTAGGGCTTCCTGGCGCATAGGTAGATTTGTTGGCTGGTTCGAGGACAAAGTGGATCTTGCAGTTTCGATCGTTTGGATCAGCGCTTGTGCTAGAGGTGACAGTTTTGAGAAACCTTGGTTTACAATGGCTTCCGCAGCTATCTAGGATGTGTAGCAAGCGGGTGGAACTTGCGAGCCTCGGATTTGTCTACAGAGAAGAAGCGTCGGAGACACTTTGTGCTTCAAGGCACTGTATCCCTGCCACGTGCTGTTCTTATTCAGACACCCGAGACCTGACGCATTGGATGCCAATTCCGCAAAAGCAATGCGTAAACCCTAAACCCTAAACCCTAAACCCTAAACCCTAAACCCTAAACCCTAAACCCTAAACCTTGAACCCTAAACCCTCAACCCTAAACCCTTTTCTATGTGAAAGCGAGGGCAACCGTGGTGCCACGGGTGCCGCACCCGAGTGGCCCCTTGGACTCCCAGCCGACTTCGCCCCTGTGGCGCCCTTTGTGGAGTCCCTCGCGCCGTAGGGCGACCCAGAGACTGTTTTTGTTTTCTTTTTCTCTATTGCTTCGTGGAAGAACAGCTATAGCGCGGATTGTGGAATGTTTCTTGAATGCTTCGGTTACAAGGCCCAGAGGGTTTTGGGCAGGTTGATGGGTTTGGGGGTTGGGCTTTAAGGCTTTCTTTTGGACTGAGGGTTGAGGGGTTGAGGGTCAGGGCTTTGGTTCTGAGAGTCTGGGGCACGGGGTGTTTAGACTGACATTCAGTCTCAAGCACAGCCTGGGTCAGGTCCCCATCCCCTAAACCCTAAACCCTAAACCCTAAACCCTAAACCCTAAACCCTAAACCCTAAACCCTAAACCCTAAACCCTAAACCCTAAACCCTAAACCCTAAACCCTAAACCTTAAACCCTAAACCCTAAACCCTAAACCCTAAACAGCATCAACAACAAAAAAGAAACCTTTGCCTGTGCGAGGGCTGAGCCCCTTTGCCTTGCCCTTCAAGCCCAGGTGCATGCAGCTCGTGCAGGCGGCCCTCCTGTGGTTTGAGGAGGCCAACATCCGGCACACAGCTGTGACGCCGGGGCCTGGACTTCCTGTGCTTGTTTGCTATTTTAGGGGGTCTATTGAAGGGTTCCCTTATTTCCGTAGACCCCCCCATTTTGTCCGAGGTTGCGATCTAGGGGGTTGGTTTTCCTGAAAAAGATACGCTATTCAGGTTTCAGGGTCTTGTGCGTTCGGAGACGGCGACATGGCTGGAAGGAGTCTCAGCTGTGGGGTTGGTTTCTCGCTGCCTAGAAGTTCGGGACATTTCGGGGCACATCCTCTAGCGTTGCAGGTTTCAGACTCTGAACCCTGAATTGGAGGAGCTTGCGCCCTACGGTTTGTCCATGGTTGTCCAGCTTATTATGCTTCCCAAACATAGGATACCCTTCATGTCCCGAAGACACGTGGCGCCCTTGCGTCTTTCCAGCTGAGGTACCGACCTCTGCAACTTCCAATGCTCGGGCTGCAGAAGCTGGTCGACCGGTGCCCCACCTGCTGCAAGCACCCAGAGGCCGATTAATACGAGGTTTTACGAAATAGGGGACCCCGAATGCCCCAAATACTTATAATAAGGACCCTATTCAAGAAGGTACCTTTAATTTCGCAAACCCCCGTATGTTCAGTGAGTATATTGCGCAGGACGGGTCGATAAAATATCGGACCAATGTTTCATTGATGTCTCGGCTATTGTGCATATCGGGACACCCGACGCATGCTGACACATGGCAATTCAGCTGGCAGAGCGCGTCTCCCATACAGAGGTACGTTGCTGCACGGAAATCGGGCGAACCTGTGCAGGACATGCAAAGAGGGTTTTTTGAATGTTTTTGATAAGAGGCTCTTTGTTTAGCAAGAGGCTTTCTTGGGTGAAGTTTGAGACTCGTCGTGCACGTGCAACAAATTGAACCGACCAGGCCGGACACTAACCAGAGCTAGAGAACATCCTTCTCGAAAGTTGCTGGGCACAGGTTCTAGTTGCCGAATCCCAGTGACTGGTGAGCAAGCCCTACTCCCGCAGGGAACGGTTCACATGACAGCAGCAACTCTTCAAGTTATTATGGCCGGAGTGATGTGCTCCAAAGGAAACCGGTCGGCTGGACCTCGGCTACTGGCTCTCCTTGGGCCAGGGGCTTACCTCCCCTCTTCACCTCCATGAATGTGCGCCAATCTCGAAAAGTTTGGAAAGGTTATGCTTTTCCTGCATGTGCACAGAAATCCTGAGTGATAAGAAGCAGCCGGTGCTCAGTACTCGGGTCAGCATGGGCTTTGGCACCTAAACCCTAAACCCTAAACCCTAAACCCTAAACCCTAAACCCTAAACCCTAAACCCTAAACCCTAAACCCATGAAGCATCCGCCCAGCAGCGGAGCCTCTGAGGTGGCGGATCCTTCTTCAGCTCTCTGTCTTCTCGCAGCATGGTCGCGGCCCTGGCCCGGTGGTACTACTTGGGGCATATAGGCTAAACCCTAAACCCTAAACCCTAAACCCTAAACCCTAAACCCTAAACCCTAAACCCTAAACCCTAAACCCTAAACCCTAAACTCCAAACGTCCAGTTGTGGTTTGTTGGGCGTCCTAGGTCCTAAGTGCGACATGCCAACCGCAGGGTAGGGAGAGGTGCTTGCAGTCAAGCCTCTCGAGTCTTAAGCTTCCGGAATCCCTATTGGTCTTATTTGTTGCTCTGCAAGCTCCCGCAGCTGATCTTCTCATGACTTACCCAGCACTGTTACCGCTGCTGCTGCTGCTGCTGCTGCTGCTGCTGCTGCTGCTGCTGCTGCTCTTGCTGCTCCTGCTGCTCCTGCTGCTCTTGCCGCTCCTGCCGCTCCTGCTGCTCCTGCTGCTGCTGCTGCTGCTGCTGCTGCTGCTGATGCTGCTGTCGTTTGTTGGCGCGGTTTGCGTGGAGTGGGTGCGGAGGATAAGAAAGGGTGCTGCCACGTTGACTCTATACAGGATCGTTAACACACTATTGGCGACCGAGTAGAACATCTCTTTATTGGTTGTGGTTGATCTGCAAGCAAAGATGGTTTGGATTCTGATGTTGAGAATGTTCCAGAGTTGAACTCTGTCCCTGCACCATCTCGGTCTTGCATGGGTGTCTGCTGTTCACCGCAGCCAGCACCGGGGTACGCCGCAGATTCGTCTTGGTCCCTCGTCGCGTGCTGTGTCCAGAGGGGGGAGTCCAGTTGCGAAGTGCAAGGCCATCTCCCGACTGGCGAAGACTCGTTGCAATGTGCTGGTGATCATCAGGCGCAGCCCTCAGAACGTGAGGCCTTGCTGCGTGTCCGAAGCCACATGAAAATCATTGCCAAGTGGCTGACATCTGTGCTCGCGCACCTTTGCAAAGCCACCTCTGCCCAGGCCTGATGAGACATCACCAAGCTATCCCAAGCATATGTCGCTGCCGGGGACACAGTCCGGGGCTCCTGCACAGCTTCCGCGTCCTAGACTTCTAAACCCTTCACAATCCCTAAGCCCCCAAGACCCTAAACCCAAAACCAGACACACCCGCCCCCCCCACAAGCCCCCCCCCCCAGGCGAGGAAGCAACGTGGACGACTCCATCTTCTCCCTGGACACCCTTTTCCGGATCGGGCGCATCACCCGCACCGTGAGCCCGGAGCCCCAGGCGATAGGGTTATTGGGGTTAGGTTTAGGGTTCAGGGTTAGGGTTTAGGGTTTAGGCTTTAGGCTTTAGGGTTTAGGGTTTGGGGTTTGGGCTTTAGGGTTTAGGGCTTTCAACACTTCAGGCAATTTAGGGCTTGAGGGTTTGGGCTACTCGGGGTTTTCGAAGGTTGGGGTTCAAGCTTGTTGGAGTTGTAGGCTGAAGTTCGGGGTTTCATTTTTGGGTGGTGTCGGTCGCCCGTTCCGAATTCTAGCACCACCAGGCTTTGAGCCTTTCAGCGCTGTAAGCTGTCAGAAGCCCTTAAAACCCTTCAAACCCTTATCAGCGCTGGAAACCCTATAAACGCCCTAGACCACCCACAACCCAAAAGACCCAAAAAACCCTAAACCCGAAACCCTAAACCCTAACCCCGAAACCTAACTTCCCAACAAAGGCTCTGAGCTGGACGTGGACGGCTCCGCACACTTCGCCGGGCCTCGGGCGCGGTGGCCGGCTTCCATCTCAGACTCGCGGGCTGATAGGGTTTAGGGTTTGGGGTTAAGGGTTTAGGGTTTAAAGTTTAGGAGGTCTTTCATAGGATTGGAATTATGGGTTTGTAAGGCTTTCAGAGGGTTCAGACTGATTATGGGTTTGTAAGGCTTGTAGAACAGGGCTTATCGGGCTTATGCTATTTTTTAAAATGTTTTCGTGAGTCAAGCATGTAGACGTTTTGAGGTGGCTGGAACCGGCAAGGCCTGTGGGTGGAAGAAGGTTTGGCTTCCGGGGCTCCCGCGCAGGTTGAGGAATGTTCCGAAGTTCTTAAACCGACCCCCTAAACGCTAAACCCTAAACCCTAAACCCTAAACCCTAAACCCTAAACCCTAAACTCTAAACCCTAAACCCTAACCCCTGAACCCTAAACCCTAAACCCTAAACCCTAAACCCTAAACCCTAAACCCTAAAAGGAAGCCGTGTGCGCTTACCAGGTGATCATCATCGAGGTCTACTCTGTTAGCTGCTTCACGGAGGCGCCATGCCGTGATCAGGGGAGCGCGTTGTAAAGGCAACCGAACGGCATCGGCCCGAAACTGTCTATGTATATATATATATATGCACACGCACATGTACATATGTATATATATATATATTCTCACACATATGAAGTATCAGGTCATGGAGCTGCTGCAGAGCCGGCAGCAGCTGCACCCCGGGGAGCTCGCGGCAAAGCTTGAGGACTGCACTTCGGAGGGCACGTCGGTGGGGGGATAGAGACACATCCCACGAACACCCGGCCACGCGGGGGGCCTGCGTTGGGGGGGGGGGGAGGGCTTCATTGGGCTTTTGAAGTGCACCGGCTTCGGCTCTTCCACCGTTTGGTGGCTCTTGAAGGCCATGAGGAGGGCATGCTCTTGAGGTGCGCTTCGGGGTGGGCGGGGTCTGATTCCACGCTGGCACAAAGCCAGGACGGCTCCGGGCCTCTGCTCGGCGTTCGGGTATGAGTGAGTTTTTGTGTATGTGTGTGTGTGTGTGTGTGTGTGTGTGTGTCTGTGTGTGTGTGTGGGGGATCCCTGTTACCAAGGTTGAAGAGCAATGAGCTATAGCGTCCAGTTTAGAGCGATTTTCGCAGTTTGCAGTCTGCGCCAAGTTTTTTGAGCAGGGGGACTGGGCACTCTGTGACTGACCCAGTCTAACAAAGCTAGGTCACAGAGTGGGATACTGCACCTGGCCAGTGCAGCGTACCTGCCAATTTGAACAGGGCTTGTTTGTGATGCTGTTTAGGTCGCTGTGCAAGCCCTTGTTTCGTGTTATATCTAGAGTACACTCATGTGAGGGTTCATGCAGGCTCTGCCTTTGAAATCTTCACCTCTAAGACAATCGTGAGAAGAGGGAGGATTGCACGAGTGTGTGTGTGTGTGTGTGTGTGTGTGTGTGTGTGTCTGTGTGTGTGTCTGTGTGTGTGTGTGTGTGTGTGTGTGTGTGTGTGTGTGTGTGTGTGTGTGTGTGTGTGTGTGTGTGTGTGTGTGTGTGTGTGTGGTGTGTGTGTGTGTGTCTGTGTCTGTGTCTGTGTGTGTGTGTGTGTGTCTGTGTCTGTGTATGTGTCTGTGTCTCTGCGTCTGCGTCTGCGTCTGCGTCTGCGTCTGCGCCTGTGTCTGTGTCTGTGTCTGTGTCTGTGTCTGTGTCTGTGTCTCTCTGTGTGTGTGTGTGTGTGTGTGTCTGTGTGTGGGTGTGTCTGTGTGTGGGTGTGTGTGTGTGTGTGTGCGGCTCGGGCGAGGCGGGTTGGGATAATGTTGTGATCTTGTCCCATGAAACTTGTGCTCTCAGCAGGCTATGGCCCACAGCCCCGCAACCTTGGAACCCATGCAGAGCCTCCACGAACATCAGAAGAGTAATGCAGGAGCCTACTTCTGATGGATTCGAGCCACCCTCCCCCCGCCCCCCCACATCCAGACCGCAAAACCACAAAAAGAAAACCCAAACCTAAACCCTAAGACCCCAAAAAAGCCTCGGAACCCAAAGCTCCAGGAATGGGTGGTTTCAGCTCCGCCCGACAGGGACCGGGGTGGTGGTTTCTCCTATGTCTCATTGCTCGAAACAGGGTTTAGGATTTAGGGTTTAGGGTTGAGGGTTTAGGGTTTGAATTTCGGATTTAGGGTTTAGGGTTGAGGGTTAGGGAGAGGTGCAGAGTTCGGTGAAGAGTGTCAAGCCTAAAGTCCTGGCTTCGAAAAGTTGTCTTTGGATATTCCCTGAGTCCATACAGGGCTGAGGCTAAAACCCCCAGAAACCCCAGAAACTTGTGAAACCCTAAAGCAAGAGTGTCTGACATACGAGCATCCGCAGGTTTGACCTGGAGAATGGAATTTGGGGGTTTGGGGATTGCAGGGTTTCTACATAGGGTCTAGAGTTTTCAACTTTAGTATCTGGGGGCTGAATTAGGGTTTCCGGTTTGGGAAGTCTGAACCCTAAACCCTAAACGGCCCGAAGCCCCTGAGCTCCGCCCTGTGGCGCCGGATCTCCAGACTCTACAGAGCATCCCAGCTCCTGAGCCGCTCACCTTTAGGCCAGGCCATGGTCTAGGTTTTAGGGGGGTTTAGGAGTTTAAGGTTTAGGGTTTAGGAGCCTAGGGTTTAGGCGTTTAGGAGTATGAGAGTTTAGGAGTTCGGGCCTAGGGTTTCCACACGTAAGGGTTATTCTCTTCATCTTTTTTGCAGGAAGCCGACCGGCGACTGGCCGCCGGGCAAGTCCTGCAGAAGGCCCCGCGGCTTGCTTTAGAATCCAGGTGGACCGTACCAATGTACGCCGATTCTTCTGTGCGGTGTGCACAAGCCTCGACCGAAGTACACGCTCTCAACGCCTCATGCGGTATAGGTCAGTCTCCCGACCCTTGGTCCACCCCGCCGGGATCAGGCGGCTGCTGACATGAAAGGCAATGGCATCCTGAAGGCAGGGCTTGGCAGTTGGGGCAGTCCTGGGGTTGCGGGGCCTTTCGCGTTTCGGGCTGCAGGTCGTCAGCTATTGGCGCATCGAACCCACATCAAGTTTCCGTGCTTGCATTCCATGAGAGGACTGAACAAGCTCTCCTCACTTGAGCCTGTCAGTCTCTGTAGGTCTTGCTTGCAGTGTTGCTGTAAGGATTTGTTCAAGGTCAATTCACGATCTTCCAAGACAACAAGCTTACAGTCCATCCACTGTTCAAGCATGGTTTCAAGCGGTGAGAGTCTTCATGGAGGTCGCAACCTAAGAGCCAGCCTCGCCAGGCAAAGTCTGCCGAGGTGGACACCTTCATGCAGAAGTCCCGGCAGATGCTCTCCAAAGCGGCAGCTCTGTGGCATTCTCTGGCATTGGAGGTGCTGGGACTGGGTTTCGTGGTATGCTCGCAGAATGCTGCGGTTGAGCCCGGATATCTCATACTACAGCCTTTATATTATATAAAACCCTAGGAGCCTGTATGATGGAAGGGAAGGCAGAGTCAAGAGCCCAGGCAGAGACTGCCATTGCCGCGGGCCAGCTTGAGACTGCGACCGAGGCCTGTTAGTAGCAGTGCTGTGCAGGGCAGAGATCTCTGCAGGTCTTAAAAGGAAGTGCCCTAAACCTTATAAACCCTAAGGAAGCCCTTAACCTTAAACCTGAGACCCTAGACCCTCAGCCCTAAGCCCTACCTTTTCAAACCCCCAAACACCAAACCGGAGCGCCCCTGAATGCTTTGCTTTGGCAGGCGCTGCTGGCAAAAGTTCGGGCCTCAGAGCGTTCTGGGGCCCTGAGGTGAAGTTGTATTATGTAGGGTTCGGAATCGTTACTAATCGTATTCCTTTATGGTCCCTTTAAAAATATCCTATTATTCCCCCCCCCCCCCCCCCCCAAAGAAAAAAAAGAATAACCTGTTTAAGACAGCGAAGCCCCTATATTGGGGCTCAAGGGGTTTAAAGCTTGAGGAGCCATTTAAGGGCTGCAGGGCTCGCAGGTTTGGACGGATTTTCTCTGCGTGTTGGTCTTCCTGCATGGGCCTTCGCCTGTCCCATCTGCGCTGCGTGGAAGGAGGGAGCACCCCGAGGGACACATTGCACGGCCCCACTGCTTTTCTGGCCTTTCGAAGTCATACCCTCTGCGAGCCCAAACCCTTCAGAAACCTCTTTAGCACTAACACCCTACAACCCGAAAGCCTCCTCAACAAAAAGTCCCAGAACCCTAAAGCCCCAAGCCCTGAAGGCTTCTTCTTTGGGTTGCCGCTCCCCGCAAAGGTTCGGGTTCGCATGTTTGCCCTCACTTCCTTCCGATCCCCTGCGCAGGCCCGCATTCCCGGGAGCAACAAGGAGAAGGACTGCATGCAGGCTGCCGCAGTTCACAGGGCTGAAGTAGCTTGAACTCTAAGCCGCATTTTTGCAGAATGCGAGTGCTCGTTGGCGTGTTTTCATGTCTCTGTCAACTGGTGGTGCGGGCGCTCTGTGCGCTCTTCGCAGTGGTATGTGCTGCTGTCGGCACATGAGTTGAAAAGCTGAAATCAAACTTCCTGGCGCTCTTGTCCATGGATGCGTGCAGCATTTAGTTGAGAAGAAACATTTCCAAGGCAGCCCTGTTCCAAGTTACTCGGAGTTGACCTCAGTATTTTCCATGCGTTATGCGGATTCTGAATTCCTTGTGGGCAAATGGGCAAATGGTGTTCAAGAAGATTGTGGCAAGCGCACTTAGACGTTGGTATCTCGAGCACGCACGGTCCATGATGTATGTATTTTAAGCAAGACTCAGATGATGAGACAACTCCACTCGAGGCCGTGATTACATGCCACTTCAACCCTTCCGGTTGAGACGTGAGTCTACAGTCTCGTGATCTTTCATGATAGCTGTGAACTCGTATGAGTTTTTGATAAAATACAGCATCCAGAGTGTATAATCTACATTGCAAATATATATATATATAGATATAGATATAGATACAGATATAGATATAGATGTAGATGTAGATATGGATATGGATATAGATATAGATATAGATATAGATATAGTGCAATTAATGTATGTGTGTGTATATATATGTATATACATATCACATGTGATTTGTAGATCTCCATGGAAGGCCATCGATCTCCTGAAGAAGCAATATGGCGACAGCTGGGGTCCCAGCCCACAACAGCTGCTTTCGTGACAGACGGCTCCGGAGTGAACTTGGATTTTAGGCCATCGCTGTGAACCCACCTACAAACCCCCGGACAAAAAGCAAAAAAGCAGAACATTGAACCCCGAAACTCAGATTCCTCCCTGTAACCCCCCCCCCCCCCCAAACCCTAGACCCGAAAGCCTAAACCCTGAACCCCTACACCCTAAAACCTAAACCCATGTGTGCAACAGCCTCCATGCGGCAGGTCACCCGCAGACGCAGAACGCCAAGACGGTGGCCATGGGACTGGGAGTTGCGAGCTTGGCCTGTGGTTTTGTTTTGCATGCTGGTTCGGATTTGCCCCCCTTCTACTAGCAGTCCTTAATAGGGGTAATAGTACCACCAATTAGAATCCCTATTAAGGACTGTTAGCATAAGGGGGAACATCCCAAGGTGGGGGTTTTAGGGGTTTTAGGTTTTATGGGGTTTAGCTACAGGGTTCATAGGGTTTAGGGTTTGGGGTTTTTGAATGCTTGTGTTTATAGCGCTTATAGGGTTCATAGGGTTTAGAGGATTTGTAGGGTTTAGAGGGTTTATAGGGTTCATAGGGTTTATAGGGTGCACAGGGTTTGCAGGGTTTAGAGGGTTCAGGGTTCATAGGGTTTACAGGGTTTATGGGGTTCATAGGGTTTACAGGGCTCAAGAGGGTTCATAGGGTCTATATGGTTTGTAGGGGGGCTTTAGGGCTTATAGGGTTTCAGGGTTTGTAGGGTTCGGGGGATGTATGTCTTGTTTGTCGGCTTGTTTTTGTGAGTCCTGGGGTTGCCCAGCCCATCCAAGTAGTTCGACAGGATTTGGCAGCGCAGCATCGCACTGCCCTTGCGGAGCTTTTTCTGGTATGTAGCAAGTGGAAGGATGGCTTTTTTCCGTTCACCTCCTACATCGGGTTTCGGGCAGCTTGTTTTGAGGGACCCAGGGCTCTTGGCTCAATGGCTTATGGCTTAGATCGAAAAGGAGAGAGTAGCAAAGGTTCAGCCGTTCTGCTGCACTTAGGTTTTGAAAAACAGCAGCTTGAATGTCCGTTGGTCTCAAATTCGGCTCGGCCTTGTCGACTCTTGATGCGGGCCGTTCTGGAAGCGGGCTTGTATGCACTTAGGATGCTCCCCCTTATTCTAACAGTCCTTAATAGGGAATATAATTGGGGGTACGAGAATCCCTATGAAGGATTGTTAGTATAAGGGAGAACATCCCAACTCTACACGTTGACCCTTGGCATCAGGTGCACATCTGACGCGCCGGAGAGTAGGAGGTCTGCCGGTGGCAACCTGAAGAACACCTTTCGGATGCCACGAGCTCTTGCACATTCATACGGGAGTCTTCCCGAAATCTCTATTTACTACTAAGTTACTCTTGGGGTCTAGAGCAGAGCAGCGACTTTTCTGGGAAGGCCCGCAGGGAAGTGGCGGGCCAAAGACGCCTGCTGCTCCCGGCTAATGATCCCACGGAAGCGCCCTAGAGCCAGGTGTAGGCATTGAGGTAGAGGGCTGGGAGTTTCTGAGTCTTTTCTTACTTAAAAGGGGTGTATCAGGCTAAGGGCTTCTAAGGGCTGAGACGGCTTTATGGGGTTGGCTGAGAAGGGTGTTTTGAGGGCTTAGAGGGGTTTCAGGGGCTCACGCCGACTGAAGGGCTTCATTTGGACCACGGGCCTGTATCTTAAAACATTAGCATCAGCAGATTCGGATCTACGAGTTTGGGGTTTAGGGTTTAGGGTTCGGGCATCTAGGGGCTCCCGGTCAGATCATCTCAAGCGGGGACGGGATTCTAGGACGGCAGGTTTCCGAATTTGTTCCCACACGCCCTGAAGCCTTTGTGGTACTTTAGTGTAACTTTATATCCTTGCCTTTTTTGGGTGTATTGGGTTTCTTATTAAGGCAGCTAAAAGTTTAATTTATAGCTACCCTCCTGAGTGCAGCCCAGAAGCCTCCAGCGTCATGCTGCACATCCTAAGGGACTTGCTTTCCATTCGCATGGTGAAGCTCTGCTACCTCTACTTGGGCCTCTTAGGGTTTAGGGTTTAGGGTTTAGGGTTTAGGGTTTAGGGTTTAGGGTTTAGGGTAAACCCTGAACCTAAACCCTAAATCCTAAACCCTAAACCCTAAACCCTAAACACGTTGCACCAAAGGCCCAGGCACTTAGCTCTCTCCATGCAGGCTGTTGCAGCTCAGAGTTTCAGTGCCACGATGTGATGCGCGGTCAAAAAGCTCGGGCCATGTGAACTCAACTACCTTAGTGGGACAATTTCCGCCCTAAACCCCAAGAACATCCCCAACCACCCCCCTCAAAAGCCTCAAATTAGCAAGAAACACCCAAACCCATCCAAACCCCCCAAAAGCCCCATACCCGTAAGATCCAAAAAGCCCGAAAAAGCTGCAGTCCCTAAAATCCTAAACCTGAAACCTTAAATGAAACCCTAAACCTTAAATTAAACCCTAAACTCTAAACCCTGAAACGTTGAAACTAAACCCTAACCCCCAAACCACAAATCCTAAATCCGAGCCCTAAACCCTAAACCCTAAACCCTCAACCCTCAACCCTCAACCCTCAACCCTCAACCCTCAACCCTCAACCCTCAACCCTCAACCCTCAACCCTCAACCCTCAACCCCAAACCCTAAACCCTAAACCCTAAACCCTAAACCCAAACTCGGGCGATTCGACGCCCGAGACACTCCGGGCCCGGGGCTCCTGACTCGCCCTAGTGTGTCTACGGACTCATAATTTTGGGCGGTTTAGGGTTTGGGGTTTAGGGTTTAGGGTTTAGGGTTTAGGGTTTAGGGTTTAGGGTGTAGGGTTTAGGGTTTAGGGTGTAGGGTTTAGGGTTTGGGGTTCGGGGTTCGGGGTTAGGGTTAGGGTTCAGGGAAAAGGTGAAGGGTAAAGGCTCCTGCTTAGGGTTTGGTTTCAGGGTTTCGGGAACAGGGCTTATTCCGTTAGGGTCCAGAAAGTGACGATACTTCACAAGAAGCCCAGGGATATGCCACATGTATAAACTTTTTGATACGGGCTTTGGGATGATTGTGTAGGTGGGATCAGATCATGGACTAAACCCTCAGCCCTAAACCCTGAACGCTCAACCCTCAACCCTCAACCCTCAACCCTCAACCGTAAACCCTAAACCCTAAACCCTAAACCCTAAACCCTAAACCCTAAACCCTAAACCCTAAACCCTAAACCCTAAACCCTAAACCCTCAACCCTCAACCCTAAACCCTAAACCCTAAACCATGAGCTGGCTGTCCCATTGTGAGTCTCAAGCCCCGCACACGCCGGCCACCACCCGCATCACAGCCATGGGAAAGACGGCGAAGAAGGAGAAGACCAGCGCGAGCAAGGACCCATTAAGGGGGTTTAGGGTTTAGGGTTTCGGGTTTAGGGTTTAGGGTTTCGGGTTTCGGGTTTAGGACCTGATAAACATCACCTAAAGTCCCTCCGAGGCCGTCTGGAAAACCCTTGGCCATGGGTCTGCAGCCACGTCCTCTCTGTTTGTGGGAATGGCCTTCTGGCAGTTTGTATGGGATGCATGTTGCATATGAGATCTCGGAAGTGTGCTGAGTCTTTCTCAACTCTGTCCTTGCGGAGTGTGGGTTGGCAGGAGCCCACCACCCGGGATTGCACCATCCACCTGCACCTTGGCTCTCAGAGGTTCAGAGAAAACGTCGTCACTTACCATTACTCGCGCCAGTGCCCTGTACACTACGTCGTGTAGCCTTATCAGAGGAGCCAGGCATGCACAGAAGGAGCCCAGTCACCGGATGGTGTGCTCAGAGGCTGAGATTGCAGTCAAGCATCAGTCTTACTACTTACTACATCTTACTGCCTTGTTGATGAGTCCCCACGCAAGGAAAGAGGTTGCTTCCCCCGAAACCCAACCCCCAAACCCTAAACTCTGGCTTTCCTCAAGAGCGAACAAGGCATAAGCACATGCAGAAGATCTCCTTCAAGAAGAGAGCTCCCCGCGCAGTCCGAGTGGCTCTAGCCTTGGCCATGACAGTGCAGTGAAGCATTGGGAAAGATTATTATATACAATATGCCAAGAATATACTACTTAATACACTCTATAACTTACTATAAAGAACTATACAGTATAATGTATATGCTATATATAACAATATGTATTTTGCTCTTTATATATATATATATATATACATATATACATATATATGAGATACGATGTGTATATATATATATATGTATATATATATAGTACTATATATATATATAATGTTCGCTATATATATATATATATATATATATATACATACATATAGACTTCTACAACCTATTATGTTCTATTGCAACATATCATGTTGCATTATCCTGTATGGTGTATCATGGGCTCCGACCACCAAGGGCTTCTTCTTGTTAGTCGTGCATTCAAGGGAAGCGTGGCAAGTTGGAATCACGCCACAGTCATGTCTCGATATACCAGACACAGATACCATTGTGAGAAGCTGCCTGTGTGGCGCTGCTGAGTGCTGTTGCTGCAACGGATGATCATGAACCGGATTGAATGCCGAGGTCTGGGGACCCCCACCCCAAACCCAAAACCCAAAACCCTGCAAATTATCTCTCGGGAATCCCGGCCCTCGACATGTTCGGTGTAGGACTTAGGGTCCCAGGGTTGCTTGGGGGATTCTGGTGGGAGGGCGCTCTTTTAGGTAACTTAGGGGGCATGCCCCAAGACTCAGAATTTCAGGTCCGCCAGTTCGCGAGCAAGGTCATGTTCACAAAGGATGTCCGAATCGACTCTCGTGCTGCAACTCAGTGTGACACGTCGGTTTTTCATGACACTCCGGCTGCTCGTTACATAATTACCATTCCATTTTCGTGGGGGATCCCTATCTTGTGTCTCCATCAGCCACATGCCTTTGAGACTTCGCCAACGGCCTTGCCATCTAAGCCACTTGCCTCTGCAGCAGAGACTTCGCCCGCGCCGGCAAATGCTAAAGGTTCACTGCTGACTGTTGTATAGGATTGGCAAAGCTCTATTTAATGGACAGCGGTAACTTGCCTTCAATGACATCATCAAGCCTCGTCAACCACGCGACGAGACAAAGAACGTCTGTGCCAAGGGCGTATGCAACGCCCCGCGGGGACTTACAATCGGCTGAGTCGATTTTCCTGGTTTCCTTGTCAGGCAGAAATGCTAGCTGCTAGCTGCTAGCAGTTGCACATGTCACGGGGGATAGGCCATCCTCCCGCAGACCAAGCGGTTTGGTCATGTGCGGAGCTTAGGGCCGAGAATAGGGGGCTGCTGAGGACACCAAGCTGAACAAGTTTCTGTGGAGCAACGGCATCCGCAATGTGCCCCGGCGGGTGCGCGTGCGCCTGTCTCGCAAGCGCAATGAGGACGAGGAGGCTACGGCACCTTGGCCGGCACCGGAGTTGGGCTTTGCTTTTTTCTTTGCTGCGCGGAAGCTCATCGCACCACCTGCTTCCGTGCTGGCTGTGTGTAAGTCCTTTAGTCATATAATATTCTATGTGAGGAGAAGATGTTCACCTTGGTCCAGCACGTGCCGGTCGAGAGCTTCAAGGGGCTCCAGACCGAGAACGTCCGGGATGAATGAAGCAACAGGCGTGGATTCGTGATGACATTAGCTGGCTCATGGTACTGGGGTACAGTGCCAAAGGATGTTCGGCATTGCCCGTTGCGAAGGGATGATCTATGTTGCCTTAGTTGTGTCCGGCACTTTGGACCCTTGGCGCATGGTGCACCTTCCTTCTCTTCCCCGGTTGCTTCTGTGTCAGGCACTGAGTGACGTGTGAGGGCAGCGGGTCGACGGCAGAAGGAAAAGTGTGCGGTCTGCCTCTTGATGCTTTGAATCGCAGGGTTCCTCGAAGGCTTCGTTTCTATCGCGAGGACTACGGCCATAGTGACATAGCATCAGCATTTTTCAGGCGAAGAGTGCTGACACTGTGTTGACTTCTGTCACCTGGCTCTGCTCAAGCCCCGATGGGGCCAGCTTGGTTCAGCACATCTTTGTTCTGAGTTGCGGCTTCTCGGAATGTTTGCAACGGCCAATGATCGAAGCGTAGGCATCTCACAGACTGTAAATGTCGCTATGTCTAGCAAACGCTGCACCTTGTCGACCATGACACCATAGCCATGACTGCAGTCATAGCAATGCTGGACTCATTGCACAAATATTAGAAGAGAATGAGAGAAAGTACCAGTCGGCTGCGTGGGTTTCAAACGAGGTGTGCTGTATGCCGGAGACGGGTTCCGCGGCTCAGGGTCCAAAGCAATGGATGGGCATCGCGAGAAATCAGTGGATCAGCGCACTCCTGAGCTGAAGCCCTTAGCGCATTCATAAAGACACTGACGTATTGGGCAACTTGGGGGCAGCAGACCCAAACCCTAAACCCTAAACCCGAAACCCTAAACCCTAAACTTTAAACCCTAATCCCTAAAGCCCTGACATCCTCAAGCCCCGACATCCGAAATGCCAAACTCTCTAGGCTTTCAGTCGGCATGCTCGCGTCACTGATGCAGCTTCAGGCACGCTTGGACCCTGCCTTGGTCTATAAGGGGTTTAGGGTTTAGGGTTTAGGGTTTAGGGTTTAGGGTTTAGGGTTTAGGGTTTAGGGTTTAGGGTTTAGGGTTTATCTAAGGAGGGACCATTAGAAGGGACCCTTAATCAAATTCCCCTATACTTATTTAGGTACATAGGGACTAGACAAGGCATATATATATATATATAACTGTATATATATATATATGGGTTATATATGGGTAACCCATATATAACCCCTATATATAGCTTGTAGAGTCCGATATGTACCTAAATAGCCCTTAAATAACCCCCAAAGTCCCTCATAAGGGTCGGTGAGAAGGGTAGAATGTAGGGTTTCTATGGCCTCTTTTAGGGTTTATAGGGTTACAGGGTTTTATAGCCTCTTACAGGGTTTACAGGGTTTGTAGAGTTTTTCTAGGCTTTAGGGACGTTGAGGGTTCATCGATCAGCCCTTTTGTGAGCGGGGATTCAGGAAAGGCTCACGCAGACTGCAGCTCTACAGGAGCTTATCGACCCTGGGTCAGTATTGCCCTGAAGCCCTTGAACCTTGAACCCAGAAGCCCCTAGAAGCCATTGCTCTGAAACCCGAAGCCTAAAACCGCTCGACCCGAACTGAAAAATCTAACGCCCGAAAACTCTCAACCCTTTCCAAGCTTGAACGCCCTGGAACCCTAAACCCCAAACCCCAAACCCCAAACCCTAAACCCTAAACCCTAAACCCTAAAACCCGAAACCCTCTTTTTCAGGGCTGCCGGGGCTACACCCCGATCGACTCCGCCCGCGCGGCCGCCGACCTCCAGGAGCTCCGTTCCGCGACGCCCGCCGCGGAGGCCAGGGGGGGGGGGGGCCTCGAACAGTCGCCGTGGGGGGCTTCCGCCTTGAATCCTATAGGTTAGGTTTTAGGTTTTAGGGTTTGGGGTTTGGGGTTTGGGGTTTGGGGTTTGGGGTTAAATAGGGCTTACGATATTTGGGGTACCTTCTTGGGGTCCTTATTGTCAAAGGGTTCTACTATTTGGGGATCTATATTTGGGGGCCCCCTATCTTCGCAAACCCCTATGTGTTGAACCTTAAGCCAAGAGCCTAACTTCTAAACACTAAGGGGGCTCAGGATTCCGGGTCTGAAAGGGTTCCGAGGGTTCTGCAGGCCAGCCGGGTATACAACATGTAGGAACAGCCCCTCAAAAACCCGGGGGTGGGGGGTGGGGGGCGGGTGGGGTCGGTTAGAGTCTTCTTGCGGGGCTCGAGTGCTGTTCGGCTTGGACTCTTGACGGTTTACTTGGTGGTTGGCTTGCTTGGTTGGGTTCAGGGTTTAAAGCCTCCCCCTCCGTCCCAGCATCGCAGTCATCCGTGTCATTGCAGGCACGCCAGCAAGTCCGGGAGGATTTGCAAAGCTTCTGGTCCAGGTGCATTCCTTATGTGATATCAGGGACCTGTCGTAGATCTCTTCTGAGTGGATTCTGTTAGGAGGAGGGCTTGCATCCCTCCACACTCATCCGACCAACGATGAATGCTGTGTCGCTGCAAGCTTGCACCGAACCTGGCTTAGGTTTAGGGTTTAGGGTTTAGGCCTCAGGGTTGTGGGCTTTCGACAGTTTTCGGGTGAGAGGAAATGCAACTAGGAGGCGTGCACATACCCTTTCCGTTCCCATCTACCTCTCTCTCTCTCTCTCCCTCTCTCTCTCTCTCGCTTGACTTGAAGCATCTTTCCATCGATCATACCCCGAACTACACACCCTCCCTAAACCCTCACGGTCCCAAACCCGAACAGCCCTAGCAACCCCACCGGAGAAGATTGCCAGGCTGCGCCGCTTACGCCGTGGCCGCAGGTCAACCCCCTAGGAGGGTTCTAGGGCTTACAACGGCTACAAAAGGTGTAGACACACACACACACACACACACACATATATATATATATATGTATGTACATACATGTATATATATATATACATATATATATATGTACATGTATATACATATACGTGCATTCCTGGAGGTCCAGCCGGCACCGGGACAGCGGCGGCAGCCGCAGCCGATCCGAGGGGCGCCGCGAGAAGCGCCGCCTGATGCTCAGACAGGGCCTGGTGGTTTAGGGTTTAGGGTTTAGGGTCTAGGGTTATTATTTTAAATTTAAGGGCCCAAAACCATCCAAAACTACATAAACATAAGGATCCTACTATTGGGGTCTCTTGATGGGCGTGTGGTTGCTTTGGGTCGCAAGCTGTCTACGTTTTTCTGTTTCTTCAGGGTTGAAGGAGCCAAGGCTTTGCGGCAGTAGAGGTCTCAGAGTTCAGGAGATTGCAGGAGCTCGGCGTCTTGAGACTTGGTTGATTCCGTCGTTTCTCATTTGTCGCTGGCAGTTGTCCATGGCACTTTTCAATGTGTTCAGTTGGGAATGTAGTCCAGTATGTTTGGGAACCATGATTTGATTTTCCGCCTTGTCGTTCATAGAACACTTCACGGCCAAAACAAAGTGTGCAGTCTGGTTTGACCGTGCTTGGGAGTACCTCTTCCCGGCCGCTTCGAGGTTCAGAAGGGGCCTTACGTAGCCTGAAGAACAACACGCATGGAAACCGAGAACCGAATTTCCAAACTCGCCGCACAGTCTGCTGGCGCAGACTGCAAGACCAAAGGCTGAATCGCGCCTGCGCAGTCCAAACGACGTTGCGGCTTCCATTAGAATTTCTGTATCTCCCTGCTTGCAAACTTAGGGCGCCATTGGCATTCCTATTTTGTGAACTCAGCTGTGACGTTCTCATGTTGAAGTTGAATACTTACATGAAGTGCTTGCAGCTTGGTGTGGCCGAGCAACTAGGTCGACGTCGCCGCCGTGCTGAGCGAAAAGGCGGGTGCACAATCTTGCAGTGCTTTTTCACGATCTTCAACAGCCATGCAAGTGCCTTGGGATGTTCCCCCTCATACTAACAGTCCTTAATAGGGATGATAGTACCCTCTATTATAATCCCTACAAAGGACTAAGGACCATTAGAAAAAGGGGGAACATCCCAGAAAGTGCCCCAAGAATGCTCATGCCTTCGTCGCTGCACCCATGCCTCGGAAGCAAGACGCACAAGAGGTCACACGTCCTCCAGGTCCAGCGCGAGCCATTCAGGCCTTGCAAAGCTCAGAAGTACTGATTGTTGGGACAAAGAAAGCATGTATATATGTATATATATATATATATGTTCCTCAGTAGTCAAGGTGTCAGAAATCCAAATTTAAAGGGTTGAGTCGGGGATTGATTTGCTTTGTTTTGCGGTTGACGGCCTTTCTTTTTCCTGTGGAACACGAAGCGTGGACAGTTGAATGGTTGAATGAAGAAGACGGACTGCGGATATAAGTTGGCAGCCACTAGTGTCTAGGGATCTGGGTTCCAAACCATACAACCGAAACCCGAGCACGACTATCTGCAAGGCCCTCGGCATGGCCGTGGAAGCAGTGAGAGTCTCTCGCGTCGAAGTGCCTCGCACAGCCCTGGAAAACAATCGTCGGGCTGCGCGTGTTGACGTCGGAGCCGGTTGCGCCCGGATCCAGGGTTTAGGGTTTAGGGGTTTACATGAGCTTTGCTGTCCTGGCAGCTTGGAATGCTCAAGGACATCCTTGTCCAGATACGAACATGCAGCCACTCTAGAGACTTGCAAGCTACACAGCTTTGGGGGTAAAGTGCAACTGAATGCCTTGCCGCTCCTGTAGGATGCTGACGTGCACTAGCTCAGAGGTCGAGAAAAGCCGTTTCAATTATGCGAGGCAGTGCTTTAGGGAGTGTAGGGCTAGAGTGGCTATTAGGGGTTCAAAGCTGGTAGTATTAGGTTTTAGGGCTCTAGGGCTACAGCGTTATAGCATTTAGGGCTTCTGTTGCTCTGCTTCTGTCAGCCATGGACTGGAAGCGGCGTCGCACGCTGGCGACCGGTCAGGTCAAGAGGCTGGCCAGCCCAGTACCCAGCTTTTCTTCTTACAAACCCTAATCCCTAAACCCGAAACCCTAAACCCTAAACCCTATAGGGCTCACCCCATTAAGAATTAAAAGCATGTCCGCTCAACTGGGCGTCAAATCACCCTCCAACATCCGCAAAACACGCCGAGTCGTGGGCGGCACGCATGGCAATGAAACGAACGGCGTGCACCTGGCCAAGCATTTCCTCAGGACCATCTGTTTTGCATTCGGGGTCTCGCCTTGCTTCCTTATGTACATTCTGTCTCTATATATATATATACACATACATACATATATATATATATATTAATCATGATTACTATTATTTTGTATTATTACAATTATTTGTGTTTTTTATTTATGGTTGCACAGCTGGCAAGGCAAGGAGACTGCTCTAGAGCATGTTCAGTCCTCTAGCTCTGGCTTGTCAGGGAGGGGTTGTTAGTAGACAGTTCTTTGGCGTTGCGTCTCCGTTCAGGAATCCGTCGTTAGTCAAGCGTGGCTCCTTTGAGACGGAGGCACGGTCCGGCGCGCACACGCGCAGGTCAACAAAGTAGCATCCAGTTTGAAAGCTCCCGGCTGCTATTCAAGCATCACGTCAACGAACCGATGCGAAAGGCAAAGGCACACGAGTCTTCGGTCCAAGTCAGACTTAGCCTGACTAGGTCTTGCTCTCCAACACTGCGGCCATAAAGCAGAACACGCGATATGTGGAGGAGGACTTGAACAGGCACGATCTCTCCCTCTCTCTCTCCCTCTTTCTGTGTTTTTGGGCTGTTGGTTGCATTCATGTCTATTGTTTTCGGTGGGGGCAAGCGCTGCCACTGCATCTCTCGCACCCTGAAGACCACCCTTGCTAACCAGAGTGGACGCTTAGTTGGCTTGGAAGAGCCGAGCCTGAAAGCTCAAAGGGGGTTTAGGGTGTAGGGTTTTAGGGTTTAGTGTCTAGGTTTTAGGGTTTAGGGTTGAGGGTTTAGGGACTAAATTCGTCATTGGTGGAAGAAGCCTTGCGGCCTCGCCTTCCCAAGACTCCTTGAAGCTCTGAGTTCGAAGAAGCATCGGAACCGTTCCAGCTAGAAGCCCCGAACCCTAATCCCTAATCCCTAAACCCTAAACCCTAAACCCTAAACCCTAATCCCTAAACCCTAAACCCTAGAACCCTAAACCCTAAACCACTCTGCAGGTGCTACCTCCTGGCCGATCTGCAAGACGACGAGAAATCTGGATCCAGCCTCGAGCGCAAGCGCGCCCGCGAGGCGAGTCTGGGGTTTGGGGCAGACTTAGGGGGCGCGCGCAACTGCAGGGTGTAGGGTTTACCGTATGGGGTTTAGGGTTTAGGGTTTAGGTGAGGGTTGAGGGTTTAGGGTTTTCGGGTCTAGAAGAACAGGTCTGGGCCGCTGTCTCGATGTGGGAGCCACCAATGATGAAAGCTCTTCAGGATTTTTCAGCATGCTTGCCAGGCGAATCTCCGGAGTCTCCTAAACCCATCAATCGGTTTGAGGCTAAATCCCAAGTCCAAGACCCTCTCTACCAACCAGCATGCACCTGCACTGTGGCCCTATCGACTCTTTTTGTCCCCTGATCCTCGTGTTGTGCTTCCCCGAAGGTGGATGCCGCCCTGGGCCCCAAGAGCTCCGACACACCCCGCTGCGCAGGGGCCACAGCTTCTTTGGGGGAGTAGGGTCGGGTAGTGTAGGGATGTGTAGGGTAGGGCAGGGGAAGGCTTGGTGTTCAGGGATTTTTTTGGGGATGTTCGGTCTTATCACGGGCATGCGGCCTGAGGACTTCATTGTTGATCTGCACAACACGACCGCGGCCACCGGCGTGGCCCTGTTGATGGCGCCGGATGACGAGCTGCTTGCCATCCTTGGCCCTAAACCCCAAACACTAAGCCCTAAACCCTAAACTCCCCAAGCCCTGAACCCTAAGCTTCCGAAAGCAGACCCTCGGAGGGGCGCAGGGTTCGCAGAGCGACCTTAAGACCACACCGCAGATCTTGAAGCGAGGTTCGCGCATGAAGTGGGCCACTACCTGAGTACACTCGATGACTCTGTAAGGGCCGGTGCCTTACAATCAGTCGTGCGGAGCCATTTTGACCCTAAATCCCGCTTGTGAGACGGCTCACTCGGGATGTCGGGTCTCGTGTCTAGCGCCCATAGTGCTGCTCTGCACTTACAACGCTCTAGTGGAAAGGATGCGTTGCAACCATCTATCCAGCTTACCAGCCCTCTCTCTCTCTCTCCCTTTCCCTTTCACTCCCCTCTACGGAAAGAAGGGAAAAAGCATGCATGCGCGCGCGTCGACAGTTCCTTCCACAGACACGCTTGAAGCCTTCCGAAGTCTTTGGAAGGTCGTCGAGTGGAACGATCAGCCGGATTGGGCCCTTTGCCCCTCCGTGGGTCGGAGTGGGCTCACGTTTGAGGCCCTTCTAGGGCTTTGCAGGGTGGCCGTATAAGGAGAAAGCTATGGCATTTCGGGCTTCCTGGGTTTTTTTTGCGTTCCAGCTCGGGGGACGGCGGGGTGTTCTGGCGAAGTAGCCCCGTCGGCATGGGGATGTTATCCGGGCGGCTGCTAGAAGTGCGCAGAGGCTTCTGATGAGTGCTTTTGCTGCTGTAACCCTAAACCCTAAACCCTAAACCCTAAACCCTAAACCCTAAACCCTAAACCCTAAACCCTAAACCCTAAACCCTAAACCCTAAACCCTAAACCCTAAACCCTAAACCCTAAACCCTAAGCCCCAAGCCCCAAGCCCTAAGCCCCTAAACCCTAGCTCTGTTGAACCCTTTTGTAGGTGGGCCCTTGTCCCTGGGGCTGCCTCGAACCGGAGCTCTTCCAGCGCTCAAGGAGGCGCCCGCGGCTGTCCTTCTTTTAAGGGGCTTGGGCCGGTAGTTGCAGGTTCATATAGGGTTTAGGGTTTAGGGTTTAGGGTTTAGGACTTAGGGTTTAGGGTTTAGGGTACCTTAACCAATTATAACTGTGCTTATAACACACTTATAAGCCCTTGAGTGCCCTAATATGGGTATGGGTTATCATTGGTTAATAGGTACCACGAACCTCCAAGTAGTTGCAGGGCCTGTAGGATGCCGTTGTTTTCTTGGGAGATCTTGTACGGGCTGTGCGACTCAACTCTGGGGCTTCTAGGCTCTGCGGAGATTGAAAGAGATCTAAGATGGGATTATCTGGCAGTTTGACACTGCAAGACCGAACAAGACGAAAGCATGCCGGGCCCTGGTTGCTGTACCATGCACTCGAAAGCAAAGAGCATTTGCTGTAAGCCCAGGCCCTTACAAGATCCTAAAAAAAGAAGTCTGGGGGGACTCGTTGCTCCACTCACCTGTAGCATGTTAAGGGTCCCCAACATTGGGGAGAAGGCGGGGGGGGGGGGGTGGGTTCTGGAGTTTAGAGTTTAGAGTGTAGGCATTTGATGTGAAGGCCCCAAGCTCCCCCCCCCCCCACAACATCCTTCAACACTCCGACCAGTCTCGCCTTGTTTTGTAGCGCAGGCTGGTGCTGGCCCTGCTGGATTATGTGGACAAGCACAATGTGCTGATTGCCAACGGCAGCACGAAGAAGGAGCAGGCGAGGGGTTTTAAAAGGGGGAGGGGAGGCGCAAGAGAGATCAAGAGAGTGAGCGGGTCAGGCGAGCAAGGAAGGGACGCTCGAGTATTCTGCAATTGTACACGCTTGTGCACAGCCGGGCCCATGCGTGGCGCAGCTCCCGGAGAGCAGGGCAGCTCCCGGAGAGCAGACAGCGGTGCAGGTAGAGTTCCTTGGGCGCGCGACCCCTGAGGTGGAAGGAGTTAGTCCCGTATTGGGGGATCCCAGGAACATCCCAGGGAAAGCCAAGGGCAAAATGCATTTTGGAAAAGGCTTTGTTGTAGTCTCATGTTTTCGGTCCAGGTCTCAGGGGGGTCTAAGAGTCCAAGGGGTGGGTCCCAGGCAGGGTTTAGGGGGGCATCCAACACGTGTTCACAGCGTGATTACTTGTTTTGGTCGTTTCGGACACGCGGAATTTTCTACAACCCATGTTCAGGTCTCAATGCCGGTGTACCGTGCGATTGGGGTCTCCATGGACTATCCTCGCGCAGCGGACGGAGACCCCACCGCACACGCTGGGACCTCAAACAGGACGTTCTTAGCGGCTTTAAGCAACTTAGTTGTAATTCTTAAGGGTTTAGGGACGTCCTTCGTTGGCTCGAAGTATAACATTGGGTTAGTTCGCTTGAGGGTTATATAGGGGGATACGGTGCACCTCACTCCCTTTGCCGTGCTTGGCATTTGCAGCTGCCGCCCAATTCTTTCGTGAGCCCCAGCCACAAACCCTAAACCCGAAACCCCCAACCCCTATATAAGCCCTAAACCCTGAACCCTAAACCCCCAAGCCCTAAACCCTAAACCCTGAACCCTGAACCCTAAACCCCAACCCCTAAACTCTGAACCATAAACCCCAACCCCTGAACCCGGAACCCTCACCCCCAACTCCTAAACCCCTAGACCGCCAGTGCGAAAGCGCGGCTGCCCGGTTCGGTGCGCATGGCCGCTAGACTCTATGTCGAGGAGTTTAGGTTTGGGGTTTAGGGTTTAGTGTTTGGGGTTTGGGGTGTAGTGTTAGGTTCTAGGGTTTCGGGGGTGGAGGAGTTTAGAAGCCATTGTTTCAGTAGTTGGGGGCACTGGAGCAGTCTTCAATAGTGTGTGAGGGGTGTGATGAGCATACTATGAGCATGACATCAGTACCAGGTGCTGTAGCATGTCGTAAAAGTGGCTGGGTTAGGTGAGGTTGCCGGCAGCCTACGCCATGCGACTTCTCACACTGGCGTCATCTATCTTGACTCCTCTGAGCAGGTGAGCATATCAGTATGAAGAAACTGAGGAAGCTCGATGCAGCCACAAGAGGACGGACCAGCCTCACAGGAGCAAGCCCCGGAGCAAGCCGCGGTTGCACATGAGGGACCCGCTGAGGCGATCGACTTCTGCGTCGTAGACACTGCTGCTGTTGCTGCTGTTGCTGCTGCTCAACAGGCTCAACCATCCACCTTCGTCTTGGAAGATGATGTTGCCGCCCCTGCCATTCTTCTCCCAGTAGGTGAAAGCAGTGGTGAAGGCATTGATGCTGCTGGCGTTGCAGACGGAGACGCTGTTGCTGATTCTGCTGTCGCTGGTGGTGTAGCTGACCAAGCCGATGCAGTGGTTGCCCCGAGCCTGGATTTCTGTCCTCATGAAGTTGAGGCTGCGCACATTCAAAGCCCGCCTGACAAAGAAGAGGCGGAACACGCGGGGCATTCCCACGATGTGGAAGCATCGGCTAAGAGGAAAACAACGGTCAAGAAGAAGAAGGTCTTCCACAAAGCAGGATCAGCAAAAAGCGCCGGCAGCCTGCAATCTACAAGCGTTAGTCCAGCAGTGGTGGGCAAAGAGTCTGAGCGTGATGCCACCTTCTCCCAAAGCTTGGAGCTCACATCCGTCGCGCCTGCAAGTGTTGCTCCTTGTCCCACCACACCGGTGACTCAAGCAGGACGAGTGTCAGGCGCTTCAAAACCTTCGAGCGCTGACAAGTCGGAGAAGGGAAGTGTGGTATTGGAGGCACCGTGCACCTGTAAGGACGTAGAAGTGACGTCGGCTCCCTGCCTGCCTCCGCAACTACCCTTCCACTTCCGCTGGGATGTGCCATGCCTGAGACTTGAAGGTTTGGAACCACATCTTCCCACCGACTGGGAACGCGTCGTTGCACAAAGGCTCGAGCGCGAATGGCGGCGATGCAGAAAAGAGCAGGAGCAGGCCTGGGTGTCGAATGGCAACCTGCCGTTTGAAGTGCAACGGCTCGCGGCAACCATGGGAAAGTCCTCGGATGAGGTCTTTGCTCGTGTTTGTGACCGAGCTCAATCCGCCTTATGGCATTCTGAAGCTGGCAGCACTCGGCCGATGCTGCCAATGAAAGTTTGCGCCTTCGAGAAGCTCCCAGGCCAAGCCTTGCAGAAGGAGGAGCTGGAAGGGCTGGCACTGGGAGGCCTGGGCAGCAGCTGGTGTTATCTGACCTACGACCTCAGCAGTGATCCATTGCTGCTGGACCTTGCTTATGAGGGGGCCCATCCCACCACCTTCTCAACCTTGTTGTTTGCCTACGGAGCTCAAGTTGCTGATGCTGAGATGCGCACCTGCCACCTACGCTTCGCGCGGATGGATCACTTTGATTTTGCCCTGTGCTTCCCACCGTCGCCATATCCAACTTGCAACTTGCCCTCGCCAGAAGTCGACTTTGCAACCCTGCTAGGTTTGGATGCTTGTTCTGACATGAGCACGGCGGAGGATGCGATGACGCAGGCCCGCGCGGTGCTAACATGGCTCTTCTGGGACTGTTTCGATGAGATCTTCACTCCCAACTCAGCGGAGATCAAGCTTCGCGACCGGCCGGCTCGGACGTTGCTCCCCTTTGGAGTTCACCGCCGCTTTGACACTGGGTAGCCCAGTGGTATCCTTTTCCCTTTGTTTGGTTCAAGGTTAGGGTTTAGGGTTTAGGGTTTGGGGTTTAGGGTTTAGGGTGTAGGGTTTAGGGCCTAGGGTTTAGGGTAACCAACCCAAAAAAAAAAGGGTGCCCTGATTAGAATGCGGTTTTTCTGGGCTACCAAGGACAAGAAGCTGAAGGACTGCAGTGACCGAGGCGAAGCCCTGGGTTGCTTGCTGGCAACGATGCGGCCTCAGCCATTTCAGCTGCCCTTTCGCTGCACCGTCACCAGGCAGGGGGTAGGTTTTGACTTTCTTTTTTAAACTCAGTTCTACTACCCTTAAGTCCGACCATAATCCTTGAAGAACCAGAAAAATGCATTTTTGCCCTTAATCCCCTACATAGTCCTTATAAAGCCATGGACAATCTGATTTTCATAGGGGCCCCCAAAGCTTCCAAAAGCAGGGAGGAGGCGGAGGCTCACTGTGAGCAGCATGGCGGAGAGCAGACCTTGTTGGCGGCTGTGGAAGTTGCTTGGTAGCCCAGTGGTACCCTTGGCCCCCTTTATTTTGTCATTTTTTTTTGGGAGGGGGGGGGGGGTCAAGGTTGCCTTTGAAGTTATCGCCAACCAAAAAAAGGGTACCCTTACTGTAGTATGGCTACTGGGTTCAAGGTTCCCTTATAACCAACTAAGGTTGCATTCCAGAAGGCAGCCGTCGAGTACAACGAGGCTCTTGGTGGTGAAGGCCTTCCGAAGCAGTGGCTCCGGAGCGCCAGACAGAACCAGGACCGCTGGCCTCTACAGCTTGAATCGGCTGATGGTGGCGCCTATGCAGCTTTTCGTGAGGTGAGCTCATTGCCATCATCAAGCAAGCTGGCATGCTCTGGCAAGAAGCTGGCGGTCGTGCACTGTAGAGGCATCATGCAGCTGACTGAGCACCCTGCCGAGCAAGACCTAGAGACCAATCAGACCAGGTCACGCAAGCTGACCCACGCTTCTGCGTCAGCTGCTGACCTCACGCCAAGAAGGACGGAAGTTGACTACAACACGGAGCTAGGTGTCGTCCGTGTGGAAATCGAAGATAGGGAGATGGACATGACGCTGGACCTTTCTAGGTGGGAAGACGAAGGCATCGTCACAGTCGGTGACATCAACATCAACGATCATGCGCTCATCAGACCCTTAACTATTCATTAGCCGACGGCGCTGAAACTTTCTCTAGCGGCAGCCCTTAACCCCTATTAACCCATAGCCCATTTTTGGGCCTGTTTAGTTTCAGTCTGCGTTGCACTCCAACGTCCCAACATGTCCCAACGTTGTACCGTTCTGTGCTTTTGGTTTTCTTGCCTAAGCAATCCGTGAAACCTGAAGAGCCAAGAGCAAACGCCCTCATTTGCACATAGTGTAAAGCCCAAAAACTGGTTCAGAAGAGAAGAGTTCGGGAGTTGCAGAACGCCCATGGACTGAACACTTGGAGTCCTAAGGAGAGGTTCTTCTGGCGGTCGAGCAAATGGAGAAGTGTGCTGAAGTCGCAGGCTTAGCTTGGGGACTTGTGGCTTATAGCATCCATCTACGTGTCCAGTGTGTATGGTTTAGGCGTAAGGGGGTTTATCTATTCTTGAACTCAAAGGAGCCAAACCCCAAAACCCGAAGCCAGCCCCAGCCAGCGTAGATGACTCTTCTTTCTCCTTGGGTGACCTCAGGTTCTGGACTGTGGGGTCTCTCTGAGGGAGAGCTTGCGGCATCAGCTGTCGCACTTAGCTCAGGGTCTGCGGGCCATGCAGAGGGCCTCCGTCAAGCAGCAGCTTCGAAACGTCGGCCTGGCAGTCTTCGAGACGGAGCGCGCGAAGCCTCAGGACACGCTGCGCCCTGCGTCCTTGGCGTCCCGCGCGTTGAAAGGCATCAAGGGGAGACGCGGACAACAGCTGCAGCATGCCGTGCGGGCAGGTGCATCTGGTCTCGCATCCGCTTTGGAGATTGACGACCTTAAGGACCTTGACGGAGATGGTGACAGTCTGCAGAGGCAGAGCAGTCGGAATAGTCAGCCGGTCATGCTTCTCTCAGCACCGGAGGGCATCCTCCGAAGACAGGCAGAAGCCCGGAAACTGCTCCGCAGGGTTCTTCCAAGCAGCAGCAATGAGTTCGCGGGGGGCTTCACGCCCTCCCAGTTCGATCAAGGAGGTCCTTTCCAGCAATACTGGGCAGAAACCATGCAGAAGCCGTACCAGTACCAGCCGTACTTCTGCGCAGCAGTCCCTGAAGCAGACCCCTCGGCTTTGCTTTCCCCTTCCGAGCGAAAATTCCTGGTCAAGCGTTTGGTGACTGACCCGCTTGTGGGGGCCAAGAGCTCGGATGGAATCAGCCACGTGCATGGCGGGGCCAACCTTGATCCGCGCGAGCTGCAAGCAGACGACATTATTGAGGGCGGCCTTGTGAATCTTCAAAGTTCTGCGGGGGTTTTGCAGTTGGCCAATGGCTTCATTTTCCCTTGGCGCGCCCGAGGGTGGCGATACTTCATCCCACTCCGGCGATGTGATACAGCATTGGTCCTGAGGCATTTTGGGCCAAAGACTGCCAGTTACTTCGAGTTCCTGGAGACGTACAGCAGCTTCTTGTTCATAGCTTCGGTTGTGGGAATCTTTGCAGAGCTTGCGGGGCCCCCCAATGCAGAAGCAGATTTCGCTTTTTGGAAGATCATCCGCCCCGGCTTCGGGATTTGCATGTGCATCTTGGTAGCCCTTAGTGGTGCCCTTTCGCCCTTTCTGTTGTTTCTAGGTTCCCTTATAAAGTCACCAGACCGAAAAAAGGGAACCCTATACCCGACCTCTGCCCTCTACCCTAGCCCCTAAACAGCCTAAACCCTAAACCCTATATTTAACACGGTCACTGGGCTACCGAGGCATCTGGGGAGCCTTCTTCTGCATTTTCTGGCGTCGGCGCGCCGCCCAGCTGGCGGTCAGCTGGGCGAACGGCTGGATTGAAGAAGGCGATGACCTGAGAAGTTCCAGCGCGACACTGGGCGGGCCCTTGGGATATTCTTTAATTGCTTTAAGTACTGTAAGTACTGGCTTTAAGAGATTTTAAGAGGGCAGTATTCAAGGAGCCTTTGGGACATGTTCCTCACAGGGTTTCAATGGCCAACCTAGGATACAAGGCCTGGCACAGGTGCGGCCTGAGTTTGCCAGCCGATGGCGGCAGAACTTCGACAAGGCGAATCTGGCGAAGCAGGAAGCTGGGTGAGGACATTATAGGGTTTAGGGTTTAGGGTTCTTGGGTTTAGGAGTACTTTATTTGGATCAATTTGGACTCTATGTCGGAGGGTTTTAGAAGGGGCCAGCCTAGGAAGAGACTCTGAACGCCTTGCGAACTGTGCTGCGAGCTCCGAGCTCGTCTGCCCACTTCAGCAACCGGGCTCTACGTCACGACATCGCACACTTTGACGAGACGTGCTACCAAGGCAAGTTTGCACAGCTGTGGCGCTCCCTGTTTGCATACACAGCGAGTGGCTTTTTCATAGTGCTTGCTTGCGGCGCGACGTATGGCACTTTGGCCGCCAACTATGTCTTGGGGATCAGCAACTCAACGCTTGGGTACATGGTCATGGGGTTCACGACGAGCGTGTTTGTTCCACTGCTGAACACACTGCACCACGCGGTTGTGCTCTTTACCAACGAGTATCAGCTCTTCCGGCAGGACAGCGACAAGGAACGCGACCTGTTTGACAGGCTTTTCGTGTTTGCCCTGTTCAACACGTACAACAGCTTGCTGTGGATCGCGTTTGCTGAGCGCAACATGGAGCAGCTGAGAGTCCAGGTCATGTTTATCATGGTGTTCTCGCGCGCGATTGTGAACAACATGCTCGAGTTTTACTGGCTCCTCTGGATGAAGCAGATTCGCGAAGCCGCCGCAGACATGCATCCGCGCGACGCAGAGAAGACCATCTGGCGGCGAATGCTGGTAGTGCTGACCGGCGACTTTCATGACGAAGTAACGGATACTGCTCGAAGCCACGGGCCTGAAAGTTGGATGGTGGACCAGCTCGCCGATCAGCTAACGCGGGACAAGTCCTTTGAGCAGGTGAAAGAGACCATCGAGCTTGTCATTCAATATGGGCTCGTCATGATGTTCACTCTCGCATTTCCCTTAACGCCTCTGATTGCTTTGATCGACTGCAACATTGAGAAGCGCCTGGATGCTTTCAAAATTGTCAGGCTTCAGCGTTCTCCGGAACCTCGGATGGTCGTGGGCCTCGGGCAGCCATTCCGGGCTTTTGTTTTTGTCACTGCCTTGGGGCTGTTGGTCTCCGGCCTCATGCTGTACTTCACCGAATATGCCGGAGAGCAGTGCACCAAGTGCACTATGTTTGGCAACTGCGGTAGTTGTGGTGGAACGGGAGTGGACTTGATTCTGCCAAACGTGAGCGTGGAGCTGCGACTGTTCCTGCTTTCGGCCGGAGAGCACGTGCTTCTCATTTTAATGTTCATGTTCTTCTCCTTCAGCCCTGTCAGCACCAATGTGCTGCAGGAGCAGTATAGACAGAAACTCTTCGAGAATCGCCTGCAGCTTGAGGCTTCATCTGAAGGACAGCTGTCCCAATCAACGCTGCCAAGACGGTCCCGCAAAGAGACGCAGGACACCTCCATCAGCATGGATCACATGTAGTCGCGGAGCGAGTGCTTCGCAGCTGTAAATGACTTCCCGCCTTGCCGCTCGAACGAACGAAGAATTCGGCATGCGACAGGCGCGCCGGGAGCTTGCGCCAGCACATGAAGAGGTTTGGCTCGCGATGTCCGTCGAACTGTACTGTAGCACAGTAGAAGAGGCACGCCGCTGTAGAGCCAATCCTCTGATCTTTGCTGCGCAGCTCCTCTCACCAGCCTTCGGACATCCCCGGGCAAATTATGTTCCGAGATTTCGGGGTCGGGTCTCCGCTTAGTTTTGACAAGTTTTGACTGGCAAGGCTCGTCATCAACGCTATACCCGACGAAACCCTAAAGCGGTTCCAAGAAGACATATACAAAATATATACATTAAATGGACTATCTATCTATCTATCTATCTATCTATCTATCTATCTATCTATCTATCTATTACACACATGTTTCTTTATACATACATATATGTACACACGTTATATATATATAATATTAATATACTAATATACTAATAAATAAATAAATATAAATATAAATATATATATATATATATATATATATATTATTATTATTATTATGACACGCATTCTCCGCCTGCAGGTCCACCCTTCTTTGCAGAACCAGGACTTCAAGGAGCTAAGGGATGGTGTTGGGCTCAGACATCCCTCGAGGTTTCTCCATCTTTTGGGGGTTTAGGGTTTAGGGTTTAGGGTTTAGGGTTTAGGGTTTAGGGTTTAGGGTTTAGTGGTAGTATTTACTAGTATTCGTATGATGTGTTGTTATTGTTCTGAGTCGTAGTACTATTCTATTTTGTTACTTTTAGTATTCTGAGTATTATTGTTCCATATAAGTCTACATCTATTCTTCTGGCAGTTATATAAATGAATAGAGAAATATACATATAGCAGGCTGGCAAGCTTCGGGTTTGTACATGGTTTAAGGCCACTGTGGCATGAATACTTGTTTTCAGGAATGCATACAAGCAGAAGCCTATGGATAGGTGGAAGTGTTTTGATCCAGGGGCAGTCAGAAGCACAGCAAGAGGTGTGTTCGTGTGTGTGTGTGTGTGTGCGTGTGCGTGCGTGTGTGTCTGTGTGCAAGAGGAGAGAGAGTGAGTGAGTGAGCGAGTGAGTGCGAGACAAAGAGAGAGAGCGCGCGAGAGACACAGAGAGAGAGACTGTGTGTGCGCGTGTATGCGGGGCTTCTTCCAGGTGATCCTTTGTTCATGACCTTTGACGGCGAGGTTCACAAGTTTGACCGAAAGGAGTACAAGGCCGTCACTTAGAAGAGCTCTGCCATCGCACTTGTGGGAGTTCTGAGTACTGAGTGGAGGTTTCCCTGCATGCTTGATGCTGGCAGTCTACACCTGAGGTGCCAGACAAGTACAGCTCGGTGTTTGCACTCTTCGTGAACGAAGCTGCGTACTACGAGAAGAAGGCTGTGGATGCGAGATCCGCTCATGAAACCTCCATGTGCAGGACATTGCAGTAGCAATTGCTGTGGGTTTGCAGATGGACGCCGTATCTTCCCCATCCTTCGCAACCGTCTGCCAACCAATCTCGACATCAAGCAGCGAACAAAGGAACACCAAACTGATCCCTAAACCCACCCCGCAAGTGCCTTGCCAGATCGCACTGATGCTGGTGAGCCGAGCAGAGGTCTCCTTCTCCAAGTTGGTGTGAGTTTGCCGGACTGGTTTAGGAACGTGAGCTGAGTCGCTGTCAATCGCCCAGGTTTTTTGTATTTGTGCTGTGACTCTGGAGGGGGAACCAAGCTTATCCTCATTAATCGGCCACTGCCCGACCGCAGCCCCCGTGGTTTGCAAGGGTTCCCCTTGTTGAGTTGGGTTGGTCGCTTCTCGTTGTCGGGCCGAACGCGTAAGGGCTTGAGGGCTCAAGGTTTCAGAGGGTTGTTGGGTACGAGGGCTTTGGGGATGAAAGTAGCTTTCGGAATATGAAAGGAGGAGCCTCTGCAGTGCTTTGAAGCTCCAGGTCCGGAGTGTCCGGAGTGTTCGGAGTGTTATTGTTTTAGCTTATGGCAGGATCAAGTGTACATATAGTCGTCACCCATGTTGGTGTGACGGACTCCATGAGACCTATGCCTGCCACCGCAAAGACAGCTGTGGCCAGGCTTGACAGTTGAGGTTTAGGGTTTAGGGTTTAGGGCTTACGGTCTTGGATCCGATTCCCAGGGTGCAGTGAGGCTTCTGGGCGGGAACGTTGGTGTCTCTCATGATGCGGTCTCAGCCCTACACCCTAAACTCCTCAAGCTATGCACCTAAAAATCCCCAAACCCCTAAGCCCTAAGCCCTGAAAGCCTTAAACCGCTTTGGCTGCGGTTCTCTATAAGCTCTCCCTAAATCGCAGTCCTTGTTTGTGGAGTAGCCGGGAATCCATACGACCCGCCTTCTGCCCAAAGTCTTTCAGTGAGGGTTGTTCCGAATTAGTCTTTCTGGGGTCATCTACGAGAGGTTCCCTTCAAGCACTACTTGCCAAGCGGGACCCATCATTCGGAGCGGCTTCCCACCTGTCCTGAAACTTGGACATGTGCTGCTATGTGGCATGCACGTCAGTGAACTGATAGCTGCAACCCCTCGAAATCCCTTTGCAGGCGCCCGCTTCCCAAACGATCCAAGCTCAACGGGTCTGCGGAAAGGATCCTGGAAGTTTCGTTACCGAATGGGGTCGTGCTGAATTCGAGATTCACGAAGGGAGGCTCTTTCTCTTGGTTTTTTTTTCTCAGAGTCGTTGCGGCGGAGATAAGAAGTGGGGAGACAGAGGCTGCCCTACAGGAACCTGTGATGTCCGAGGCGAGTTCTGATTCACCGGATGTTTTGACCTGTGTGTGGAATGTAGTCATGATCTATAGCCTAAGCCCCTTAGAATTTATTCTTCTTTGTATTTCTATAAAGCGCAAGGGCATAGTAACAATCAGGTTTTTTTGCAGGTTCCAAGGGCAGTATAGGAATGTAGTCAGGATTTCGTATATATGTAGTAGAGAAGCTGTATACTCTATACAGCAGAAGAATAAGCAGCAAAGGCAACTTCCATGCCCGCCACTTCGCTACAATTCAATCCAGGGAGCCCGAACTTTACACTCCACCCCCGCCCGTTTTTTTTTTGGCAGGTCTTGGCTTGCAGGCACAGGCTGAGACCCGGAGATTTGAAGTGAGGCTCTGCGGTCTATGAAGGGTTTATGGCAGCACGCCAGAGGGAGCCTCGTAGTGATGGGTTATAATATGTGTCATGCATGAACAACTCACATGCTATCAAAGTATAGTACTAGAGTTACTAGAGTTACGTGGGAGTATGCTCACATGTGGCGGAGTTTAGGGTCAGAGTTTAGGGTGAGGGTTCAAGATTCGGTGCTGCCATGGCGGACGAAACAGGTGACCAAGAAGTACGTGTTCTGAAGGCGAGGAGTGTAATCTCGTTGAGAGGTTTTGGACTAACATTCCGGGACCGGAGGCAGCTTGCCAGCTTATGCCAAACAGCAATCATCTTCAGAGGTTCTGAATCGGCAAGCTTAAACCTGTCAGCTTTCATGCATGAGCCAGGTGGAGTTCTCGGACGCGCTGCTGATCACGCTCGCAGCGATACTGATATTTCGCTCGCTGAGACGTGCTTGGATGTCGCGACCGTCATTAAAGGACAGTTGCCTCTTTTGCGTGGAACAGTTTAGGGTTTAGGGTTTAGGGTTTAGGGTTTAGGGTTTAGGGTTTAGGGTTTAGGGTTTAGGGTTTAGGGGTGTAAACAGCTTGGAGCGGATTGTACCTTGCGGTAGATAGTCTGGGCAAGCCATATGCAAGCCATGCAGGAGGAGTAAGGCTCGCTCCAAGATTCCTGCCGAAAGGGCGACCACACGGGCAGCCATTGCAGTTGGCCACGGAAAGGATGGACTCAGTCGAGGATGCATCGGGCAACTCTTCAACACGCTGGAGCACTAAAGCTGTTCTGCATTGGCCTGGGCACACGTACTGCTGTGGGGCTGCAGTGCAGCTATGCGTTCTCCCACAAGGGTGCTCCTCAGTTATTTTCTTCGTGGTTCCCCTGAAATTTTGTGTCTGGTTTTGGGGGATTCTGGAGGGGCTCTTTTTGGTCTCTCCAAGAGAGCTCCCGTGGTGGCGCGTTGGATGATAGAACCGCCAAGGAGCTCTATGAGGTCCCGAGCCCGGTGGGAGCCCTGAGCACTTTGCCTAAGGCTTCGTTGCAGGAGGCCTTTGGCCTTTCCGCGCATCTCACCTGAAGCATCCTGAAACCTGTGAGGCTGTGGCTGAAGCATCGGAAAAGAGAGGTGCAGAACACGCCGTCGAGCCGACTGGTAGACCTTGGAGATGCTGCAGCACTGAGATTGTCCTGGACTTGCAAAATCATGCTGGCACCGTTCCTTGCAGTTCACGGCCTCTAGATGATTGAAGCCAAAAAGACTATTTCCAACATTTTGCTCAAGGCTGCGTAACCGTCGAAGTTACACAGCCAAGCATCCCACCGTATCGATCCGTATGGGGGGTGTTTTACCTAGGCACTTCTATGGCCATGACGCCACAGAAGGAGAGCAAGTCGATTCCAGCATGGCCCACCAAGAAGCCAACAGCGAGGCCACACATCATCAGAAGGTGAACGAGAGCCTCATCCACGAAGAGGGGGGGGATAACTCCAGTGCGGCCCCTTTCGACAAGCCTCTCGTGCCCGAAGGAACCGCCAACGAGGAAAGTGGGGCTGCTTGGGGGATCTGCCCAGGGCGCCATGCAGCCATAAAGAGGGAAGTCTTGTGCGTCTTGTTGATGATTGTCCAGGCAATCTTTGATCCGAGTTGGCAGGTGATGCCCTTTGGCAGTTCAGTGTCAGGCTTCGGAACCGACTGCTCCGACCTAGATGTGTCATGCCAGGATTCGCGGATCGCACTTCCGGACAAGGTGCAGATGTTGGACACTCTCGAGAAGTTGTGGCAACACCTCCAAGATGATCCCGTTCCGGGTGTTGAGCTCGTTCAGTTCGTCACGAAGGCCGCCTGCCCCATCATCAAGCTCCGCTACAAAGGCCTCCCTGTGGACATCAGCAACAACCCTCTCCCGCTGCAGAACACAAGGCTCCTGGCTGCTTATGCAGGCTTGGACGATCGGGTGCGTGACCTGGGGCGTTTGGTGAAGATGATGGGCCGGAGCATGCGCTTGCAAGGCGCGCACCACAACTACTTGAGTTCCTACGCTTGGATCCTCATGGTCTTGTTCTACCTGCAGCGCGCACATGGCATGCCAGTGCTTTGCGTGGACGACGTCGTGCACGAGGAGGGCAAGGCCGGAAAATTGGCCGTGGAGTCTGCTCGCCGAGAATGGGACTGGTGGATTAAGAGTACAGTAACCGTCCCTGACCTGCTCCAGGGCTTCTTTCACTTCTACTCCCAGGTGTTCAGGTACGGCCGGGATGTGGTCGCCATCGGGGGTTTCAAGGACATCGGGAGGTTGACTCGGGATGGCATGCACCTCGACATCCAGGATCCGATCCAACTCGAGCGCAACCTTGCCGAGCCCTTGCGGGCCATGGGCGCAAGACCTCACCGCCGACTGGTAGATGGGTGTCGCTACGCCGCCGAGAAGCTTCCCTCGCAAGATCCGGCAACTGTGGCGGAAGACATCCGGTCGGGGATCCGTCTGTTCTTAGGCATCCTCCCAGATCCTTTGAAGGACTTGGTCCTTTCTTATTCTCCGCTGCCGCCGCTGCAGCGTAGGTTGTTGTGCAGGAAAGAGCGAGACTCTGTGGGAGATGAGCTAAGAGCACACTATGAGTTTCCGGTTCTGGAAAGCGACTGGGCTAGCAGCTGGCCTGAGTGGCAGGGGACCCTGCGTGAGTTGCGATGCATTTGGGCAATGATCAGGGCATGAGAGGGCAACAGTAACCGCGAGGAACAGCCCATGTCGAAAACAGCAAAACCCCCTACCATGCACCCTACCAGCAGTTTAGGGTGAAGGGTGTAGGACGAGTTGGTCCACTTTGTTTTCGACTCATTTTCCTGACTCATCCGCCCTCCCAAGTGTCTGCGTGCCGAAGTCGCCGAAGCCAGTTGACATTGATGTTACTGTGGTATTCGGGTCCGGGCTATTAGGTTTTCAACAGTTGTGCTGCTGATTCTCAAGATGTTCAGTTCCCTCAGCCGATTGCTGGAAGGGAGCCTGACCATGGTTTACACTGTCCTTTGGGGTGCGACTTCCAAACTGGGCACAGTTGACTTGCCCAAGCCAGTGCTCAAAATCAGCGCGCAAGGGCAGCAGTTGACTAATTCGTTCTCAGCTGCTTGCAGCACGAGTGTTTAGTTGGGCCAGCAATTGGCAGCGAGGCTGCCAGAAAGAAACAGCAAGTCGATGCTTAACCCTGAAGACACTTCTGCTCAAGTTCCGGCGTGCGAGCGTTAACAACAAGTTTTTTCAGCACAGCCTTTCGGATGCTGTATCGGAGGCCAAGGAGGGTTGTACAGGTGCCCTGTGCTCCACGAGCCGCTAGCCCAAGGCCCAAGGTCTTCAATGGAAAAAAAGAAAAAGTCGTACTGTTTCGGGAAGTTTTGGGGGTTGCCTGGGAAACTCCATGGAACTCTTGAAGCCGAGGCAGCAGCTTCGGTTCCTCCCACGCTCTCACGGTCTGACCCCGCGGCTTTTGAGGCCCAGGTTCCGGTAGTTTTCTGAGTCGGCGCGTGGCTTTCGGAGTCGCCGCGCGCTGTTTGAGATGCTCGGCTGCATCGGGGGCTCGAAAGAGATGGACTCTGCCTCAGGATCTCTTGTTTCTCTTGGAGGTTATGAGGATTATGAGGCCCAGGTGATGAGGAGGTTACAATGCTGAAGTGACTAGGGGTTGGGGAGAGCCTTTCACGTATAGTGTGAGGTACATCATCTAGAGGATTGTACATCTCGATGATCCCTAGGAGGTCTCAAGGCCAGCCCAACACCCAATCAATCCCCAATCAACATCCCCGGCAACGGAAGTGCAACCCACAATGATTATCGCACTTCGCTCTCGTCCTCATGTTGCTTGAGCCAAACCCATATGGTTTGGTACACTTCTCGATTTGTGCTGGTCGTGCCTGCACACAACTTGGTACACTTCTTGATTTGTGCACCAAATGACACTCCTCCTCAGTCACTGGTTGGAGTGTGTGCTTCAAGCAGCTGACTGCCAAAATCGCACAAATCTAAACGCAAAAGTTTCCTGGATACCGCTCATAATGTGAAGCATACGATGATATGGCCAGCCTATGGCTCTTTGCCGAATGCCCCCGTGATTCGGTCTTTTGGAGTCCCTATGACTCTTTCTTTTTTCGAGGTGCTTAATGTTTCTTTGGCCCATTGGCATCACACGCGGTCCAGGTCCTAAACTATCTAATTCCTAATCTCGCTGGACTATTCCTTCGGCGAGACTGAGCATGCTAACCCCTGCAAGTATACATCTTCCACCACTGTCCGGGACAGAAAAGTTGTCTTGCAGCGAAACGGATACTCTCATGTCACACCCCATTCGACACTTCCACAAGATTCAAGAGATGTCGCATCTGCTCCAACCTGGTCCGTGGCAACGATTTAGTCAATGCATCGGCAACCAGTGTAGCGCCCTCTTCGTGTCGAATCATGATGCCATGTTGATGAACTTGGTCTCTGACCCAAGCCGCTCTCAACCCAAAATGACGTGTGCGCCAAACAAGAGTTGACATGGTAGGCTTACAAAGCAAAACAACCGCACTGGCACTGTCGGATACAGCTTCAATCTTGTAGTGTACGTTTGTTAGGTCCTTAATGATGCTCTGAAGACGTACAGAATCCTGGATTCCAGTGGCAATAGCCTCCGTTTCGGATTCGCATGTGCTCCAAGCACAAAGTGTTTGTCTGATTGATCTCCATGATACTAAGTCCTGCCCAATTTTGATGGCGATGCCTGATCTGCTGCGGGATGCTTGGGGTGCAAAGCTTGCATCGGAGTACACCGTCAAGATTCGCTCAGAACTGCCAACAAATCGAAGGGAAAGCCAAAGTGTCTTTCTCATGTATCGGCACATGTGTCGCAACTTTCGCAAGGCATACGAAGGGTGAGTTGTCACTATGCAAGCAAGCATTGAAGTCATTGCCTGGACATCTGGTCTTGTCCTCATGGCTGCCCACATTATCGAACCAACTTCTCGCTGGCAAGCTTTCACATTCGCTTCGTGGTCCTTGTCCTTTGGCTCAGGATTAAGCGGGAGATCGTCGAGGTTGGGCAATGACGCTGTTCCGGCCATCTGGGTCAACGCTCGCCTCTGAAGTTCCTGCGCCAGCCACCTGTGCTGATCCAGAAACAATCCCTCTGCAGACAATGTAATACGAAGTCCAAGAAAGATGAACTCAGAGACCCTGGGGACCGTTAGCGATCCGCGCTTCAAGTTGCCCTCTCCACTCCAGCTCATATAGCCCTGTGCTGTGGCCTTCCAAGTACTTCGAACATGGTTGACCACCCTCAACATGGCCTCCGGATGCCCTATTCCAAGCCCATCGTCGACAAACATGGTGACATAGCCCCGAATGATGGAACCTTCCATGACGGTCCACAGCCCAGGAATGTCTTGATGGGGGTTCAACACCAGGTCTCCTAGTGTATCTCCCTCTTCCTTCTGCAGAATGGCTCCGTTCATCTTGGCGGCGCGCTCTTCCTCCCAGTCCCTTGGAGCCCGCCGGAGTCCGTATAGAGACTTACGCAGGATAAGGACCGTGTCAGCTTCGAAATATCCCAGCTTCACCAAAATACCAGGAGGCCTTAGCAAAACCCATGCGTCACGAGGTAGGATCGAGTTCAAAAACGCAGCAGATATATCGAAAGCTATCCCACACCAGTCCCTGTTTGAGGCCCATGTGTGTGACAGGAAACGAAGTGTATCAGCGTCCACGTTCTGACTCGAAAGATCATCGCCAGGCTGTTGTTCGAAATTCCCACAAGCAACAAGGCGACACTTTGCCTTAAAGGCTGCTAGCTCCGCCAGCTCTGCTGCCTCCTGCGCGCTCATTCCTGACAGATTCTTGGCTGCCTTTGGGACCTGATCGCTCAAGGGTTTTTCCTGAGACAAGTCTCCTCCTTCAAGCAACGGTTTCTTTGTCAAGACCAGCTTCATAGGGATAGGCGTTGGGAGCTCATCCTCGCTGCCCAGTCCGAGCTTTTCCCGAACTTCAGAACTTGTACATGCCTCCCACACTTCTTTCGTAGTCATGTTGTCAAGCTCATCTGCAACTGAAGCTCGCCACTTTTGCTGACGAAGAATACTTCCAGTGGTCAAAACGTCGTTTCCAACGGTTTCAGTCACCAGTTGTTGTTCTGCCAAGATTGCAGCCATGCGCTCCGCATCTTCGATCTCTTGCTCTGCCGACATAGACAAGTGAAGATATTTGCCATCTTGCTTGTCTGCTTTTCCATTTGGCTCTGCATGGGTTGCGACGGCTGCCTTACTGAAGGTGTTCATCTGGCATCCCCTTCCGGCAAAAGGTGACAAAGCTGCCTCTGCTGAAGAATCTCTCACTTGTCGCTTGATGGCCTCAAACCTTCCTGCAACTTCATGTTCTGCAGGATCGGGACCATCTTGGCGCTCCTCCAGAGTGACAACCTCATCGACATCTGGCTCAGTCCACCTCACTGTTCCATCTTCTGCAACCCATACTGCCAAAGCTTCGTCTGGACTCAAGAGCTTTCTCCATCGCTTTGGCGCCACCTCAAACGGTGTTGGAAGTCTCGTTGTGACGATTTGTAGTCCTTGATTTCCATCCACCAAGGCTTGCGCAGCATCCTGAATGGCCTCGTTCACGCACAGATACACTCCCTCTCGCACACGTGGGGAAAACGGATCAGGTGCTTGGATACGAACTCCAACAGGATCTCCGAAGGTGGGTGTTCCAACTGGTCTGTCAATGTTGAGTGCCTGCAAACGAAGTTCATACGCAGCTTGCTTTACTGCGTACGACCAAAAAGACTTCGGCGTGTCAGCATGAAGAAGAAGGCTTGTTGCTGCCTCCTTTACAGCTTGTACCTGTCTCTCCGCCTTCCCATTGGCCTCAGGTTCATAGGCAGCGGACAGGGTTTTCCAAAGTCCTTCGCGGGCGACCTCATCAACCACGTTAGCAGCTGTAAATTCACCTCCCCCGTCACTGTGCACACGAATCACCACTTCAGGATTGTCAGCTTCAGCGCGAATCTGTGCCAAAATTGACTTAATCCCTGCAAGCGTTTCGACTGCCTTCTTGGATTTCTGCACGCGCACGTAGGGAACTGATGTAGCTTCTTTGTTTACAAGAACACCAACCAGAAAGTAGCGAGCCCCATCCCGTGCCTTGTCATGTGGACCAGAAAGATCAAAGCTGATAACTCCAGTACTGATTTGGTCACGCGGAATTTTGTAGTGAGCTCGTCGATGGCCGCGGCTTGCTTGGCAGTGCACACAAGTGTTCTTATACTTCAAGTGAAAAGCACACGCAAGCGAGGCACCATGGGAAAAACTTTCACTGTCACTTATCTCTTCCCTGAACTCAGACCTAGCATACTCACCCTGACCATCGCCTAAGCTTCCCTGAAGTCCCTGAACTAAAGGGGTTTGGTGCTCGGGAGTGTGGTGGTGTGATGCTGCTTTGTCCTGCTGCTGCTGATGTGTCGCGGTGTTCTGCTGTTGCTGGTGGTCGGCAATCTGTCGCGCAGTGGAGCTCAAGTGGGTGTCCAAGTATCTACCTGGCACTCGAAATTCCAACGCCTCCAGAGTGTCGAGATTTTTTCTCCCAAGTGTCCACCAGTCGCGAGGAGTGTATGAGATCAGGACCTTTCGGGATCCCTTGTATGCCTCTGTGCCGTGGTAGCGTGTTCCCAGGAATTCAACCTTTCTTCCACCAGCCGT